ATGTCCTGCTCCCATCACTCTGCATGTAGTTTGGATGAAATAAGACAAAGAGGATAGGCAAGTGGACATTTTTAAAATGTCATCTTTATTGCAGATAAGTTAATAAAGAACAAAGTTCTAGATCTGTAATCCAAAAGAGCTTGCTAACATTTTGCAACTCTCAACCATCACAAATGTTAGCCTGAGAACAGCCCCCAAAAAAAGGGGAAGGTTGGGTTTGCAGGGCAGACACATTTATCCAAGATCATTGTCAGCACAGGTCTTCTGGGGCACAAGAGAAAGAATCCTCAGTAATCGGGGGTCTTTTTAATAGATTAACTCCATCCAGTCAAAAACTATGAGCCAATGAATGTAACAGTACTCACCAGCCAAGTAACTCACTTCTGAATGTGAAGGTTAGTGGTGTAGGAGCCAAAAGTTATAGTCTAATGAATATAGACTATATATATATATATTCTTCCTCCGCCCCTGTGGAATATGGGGCCAGAGGAAAGGAGGTCCCCCTAACATATGCCATGCTCTTTCTCCTTCATCCACGTCTTTTCACAGGTTCTCCCCACCTCTTTCTCTGCCAACTCCTTACTCATCCTGATGCCTAGAATAAAAATAGTAGTTACTATTTATTGAATCCCAACTACGGAGAAGCACTATCACATACATTACCTCATTTAATCCTCATAACAACGCTATAAGGTATGGAATTTTATTTTACTTTTGGGGGCAAATAAATTAAAATCACACAGGTAAATGGTAAAGGTAGGATTAGATCCAGGGTTCTCTAGTTTCAGAGCTTATAGTCTTTTCATTATATCCAGCTGCTTGCCATATTTTATTCATCTTTGGGCATGCTCAATAACTTTTAATGGATGGATATGTAAATCAGTGAAACATTCTCAGGCTAACTGCCTTGAGTGGATTAAAAACAACTTTAATATGAGGATTTATAAAGAACGCATCAGATTGCTCTCTATAAAGGTGACAGGAGCATCCGATTTTGAAGATATGTGTAGGGGCTGCAAGGTATGACATACCTCTGCTGTCACCTCTGTCCAGCCCTTTCAATTTTAGACCTCCCCCCGCTGCCCAAGAAGTCTCTATAGGGGACTGAGCCTGCAATCCCTCCGCGCACGGGACCACGCCCAGTCAACTGGCCAGGGCTGTTGTCATTTCTGTATGTGAAAAGCTAAGGGAGAAGAGGTCAGTGCCCCTGACTAAATAGTTGGACATCGCGAATTTTGTTTTAAAAATTCTTGCAGCACCCTAACTGGCGTGGCTCAGTGGATAGAGCATTGGCCTGCGAAAGGAAGGGTCCCCGGTTCGATTGCGGTCAAGGGCGTGTACCTTGGTTGCAGGCACATTCCCAGAAAGGGGTGTGTAGGAGGCAGCTGATTGATGTTTCTAACTCTCTCTCTCTTTCCCTCTCTGTTAAAAAAAAAAAAAAAATCAATAAAGTATATGACAAAAAATTCTGCAGCACACAGGTTGAACATCGCTGCATGGAATAATACAGAAAGAGCGAGGTTAAAGTCCGGTCACTCTTTTCCCTATATATTTTTCACATTTCCTACATTTCTCTACACATGGTCATGTCTGTTTATTTCTTCTCTAACATCTTCCTTGGATATATTGGGAACTACTTGGTAGCAGGAAGGAACAGGTTATATAAGTAAATCAAAAGACTCTTTTTTCAACTGTATCTTTTCCCCTCTAGCCTATGAATCATTTCATTACCACAGAGCTAGAGGAAATGTGTGTGTGTGTGTGTGTGTGTGTGTGTACTGGGTGTTAAAATTGTTTCAACAATGATAAAGTAAACATATGATTGAACAAATACAAGTAATTTTTATATTGTAATACATAAGTGAATCTCAGGAATGGTCCTATAAAACAAATATGTAGGGTAAATATTGCTTGGTTAGGAATTTAATACTTTTACTTTCCTACAATGCTACTTAATTTGCACAGATTTGTAAAAGGGAAATCACCGCTTTGTGGCCACTTTGGAATGTTTTCCATGCCTTTGATCAAAGCATAATGACTCCGGGAAGATGACAAATTGTCTTTAGACCCTCTAGAATGAGATCTCTCCCTGTTGCATATATACTTATTGATTTATTTCATGTACTCTCTGCTTTCTGTTGGTTACCCTCAGACGGACCCACTCATGTGTTCACTTTGATAAAACTGAGTGCACCTATTTGAAATCTCATATTAACTTTCTCAAGTAACGGTTTCATTAAAATCATTTATTTAATTATAAAAGTAACACAAACGTGGGGGGGGCATAGGTAATAACAACATCTTAACAGCTATAGTATTTTTCAAGTATTCCCTTTTGGTTTTTTATATGCCCATTTTTATATGCTCATAAATCATATTAGCAATTTCTTTAAAAAAAAAAAAAACCACACACACACACACACACACACACACAACAGTACCGAGTATTTTAAAACTCATTTCAGACAGACTTAGTCTCTAGAATACACACACACACACACACACACACGCACATGCCATATCTTTTTTTTTTTTTTTAATATATTTTTATTGATTTGTTACAGAGAGGAAGGGAGAGAGATAGAGAGCTAGAAACTTCGATGAGAGAGAAACGCCGACCAGCTGCCTCCTGCACACACCCCACCGGGGATGTGCCCGCAACCAACATACATGCCCCTGATCGGAATCAAACCTGGGACCCCTCAGTCCGCAGACCGACGCTCTACCACTGAGCCAAACCGGTTTCGGCCCCCCCGCCCTTTTTTTTTTAAATAATATATTTTATTGATTTTTTACAGAGAGGGAGAGAGATAGAGAGCTAGAAACGTTGATGAGAGAGAAACATCGACCAGCTGCCTCTTGCACACCCTCTATTGGGGACGTGCCCACAACCAACGTATATGCCCCTGACCAGAATCAAACCTGGGATCTTTCAGTCCACAGACGCTCTACCACTGAGCCAAACCGGTTTCGGCACATGCCATACCTTTTGATGCGATGCTGGTATAGGATTATAATAAAGTCATTTATACCATCATCAATGGCTTTAGAATTGCAAATTGCGTTTGGACTTTTTGCAGTAACCCCCACCTTAAACAAGAATGTTTTTACTCTCCTGAACGAAAAATGAATTTGGCAAAACAGGCAAGGGCAAGAAAACGGAAAGGACACAAATAAGCCTTCTTTCTCTGGCCAATAGGTTGAACCCGCTTATGTCACAGTTGTCAGCTAGGTGATGGCAGGTTCCAGCTATCTCCCTGGTTAATGATTTGGTGACAATCTGGATAGTATTTACTTTTCAAGACTCACGTAACTTGCTATTTTAGCCAGAGGTCAATATTTATTTTCCCTAATATTTTTGTGGAAAACAATGACCTCGAAGGTAGGAAACCCAAGTGTTTTCAGAGAGGCTAGGCATTAGAAGCCTACTCATAAAATGGACACGTTTTAGAAAGGCACACTGGGAAGGCAGAAAGTCCTTATAGTTGCTTCCCACGTGCCAGCAGAAATCTCACTTCGGGCTGGGCACTCTTTACTGCCAGCCTGGCTGGGTGAGCGTTGGCGCTGGCCATTAACACGTGGATGTCTTTGATTTGACGAAGCAGGGTCCATGACAATGACGCCTTTTGTCATATGGTAGGTAGGTAGGAAGATATGCTGAGCTTCTGGAAATAGTGCAGCTTGGAATGTACTTCGAATTGTGCCAATGAACACGAGGATATTTTGCTTGTTTTTCAACCTACGGCTGACTTTTCCCCTCGCTGCCATTTAAGGGCCTCCTCTCTAATTCCCAGTCATCAGTAAGGGTGTGTAGAGAGGATGACAATTTAGTATCAGAATAAAACACAATCTGGGAGCAAGAATATATATATTGCACATATATATATATATATATATATATATTTTTTTTAATTTTATTTTTTTTTTCCCCCCCTCAATACCATGGATAGCAGAATCCACTCAGACAGCTTTGCAGCCTGATAGTAAACAGCTCTGTTGTCTTTGGGGCTCCTGGCACCTCCGGTGAGGCCTGTGATGGACACTGGGCCAGGAGAAGGCTGCTGTCCCACATTCCTCCGAAAGGAAGCCCAATGGAAAGGGCAAGGTGGCCTTTTTATTTTTAACACGGAGCCTGGCACAAGGGCTGGTGCTCAACATCGAGGCCTCGGGTGCCCAGCTCCGTGCCCACGGGCCGCGTGGAGGAAGTTGGGGACCTTTTCCTTGGGCCCCGGGAACCCCTGGTCCCTAACCAGGGCATGAGTTCTAGTGACGGGAAGACCTTGGTGGCCTGAACCCCAATGCCAGTGACACTCCACTCCGCGGCGGCGAGCCCCCCGCGACCCGGCCTCCTCTCCTCGCCCCAGCGCCGGGGCCACTCCCCGACCCGATGGCCGCGCGCTCGGCACCGGCACCGACACCGGCGCCGGCGAAGTTACCGGAGAGGCGCCGGCGGGCGGGCGGCCGGCTTCCCTCGCGGGTCCACGCGGCGGCGGCAGCGGCGGCGGGAGCTTCCGGGGGCGCGGGCGCCGCAGCGGCGGGCGGGGGGGCGGGAGCGTGCGCGCGCACCGCGCCCTCGCCGCCCGGAGACGCCCACTCGCGAGGCCGGGGCAGCGAGGCCGGTGCGCGCCCGCCGCCCCCCCCCCGCTCCTGCGTGTGCCCAACGGGTGCGGGCCCGCGGCGCGGCGCTCTCCGTCCGGCAGAGACCGCGGGGCCCGGCCCGCGCGCAGCCCCGCACCGCGCCGACGCCCCGCCCCTCCCGCCGCCGCCTCGGAGCGAGCGAGCCGCCACGGAGGAGGCCCTCCCGGCGGCCCGGCCGACCTCCCCGCCCGCCCGGGGCGCCGCCGCCTCCTCGGAGCCGAGCGAGGAATGAGTAGGCGCCGGCCCCGCGCTCTCGGATTGAGGGGCCGCGGCTCGGCTTCTCCTCCTCCTCCTCCCGCCGCGGGGCCACGGGGGCTCCTCGGTGAGCGCGTCCGGGCGCGGCTGGGGCGGCGGCGGCCGGGTTAGCTCCGCCGGCAGCCGGGAGGAAGAGGAGGAGGAGGAGGAGGAGCCGGCGGGCGGCCCGCGCTCCCTCCCTCCCCGCGCTCACGCCCGGGCTCCTCAGTGGCCGCCCGAGGAGGAAGTTCCGCTCCTGACAGAGCCGCGCGGCGGCGACAGCGGCTACGCGGCGGCGGCGGCGGCGGCCGGGAGGCGCTGGGGCTCGGGGCGCGGATGCCCTTCGCGCCGGCCGGCCGGCGGGCAGCGTCGAGCTCTCCCCGGAGCCGGGGCCGCGTCGGGAGGCGCGGGCGCCCGAAACCTGCCGCCGCCTCTCCGGCTCCCGGGCTCCCCGGCTTCCCGGCGGGAGACCGCCCTCCCCGGTGGCCGCCGACTTCCGAGGAGACCCTGCTTTCCCCGGCGGCGCCGAGGGTGAGCGGCTCTGGGACGGCGGCGCCCGAGGAGGCGAAGGGGACCCCTTTTCCAACTCCTCGGGGCTTGGCCGCCTTCGGGGGCGGGAGGCCCCGCCGGAGCATCCCTGGGCGCCGGCATGGAAGCGCCCGCCGCCGCCCGGCATCCTCCCTGCGGCGGCGCCGCTCGCCGGGGCCACCCCGAGGCATGAGGAGGACGCCGGTGGGAACCCCGAGGAGGTCCTGAACCCCCATGGCCAAGCAGCTACCCCAGGACGTCAGCGGGTGATCGTTGTTTTTTTTTTTTTTTTTGGGGGGGGGGGCGCCCATGTTTCTGAATGTTTTTGGGGCAAGCGTGAAGAGGTTGCCCTGTTTAAAAAAAAAGCACAACGATCCTTGGCGAGGAGAGAATTTGAATCCCCCCCCGTTCTTGCCAGGATCTGGAAGGTGGAGATGAGGACTTTGTAAAGCATTTCTTTTGCCCGAGAGCGTGAACGATGACCGCCCCGGCCCTGCTGCCGCTGTCCGGACGCAGGATTCCGCCTCTGAACTTGGGGCCGCCCTCCTTCCCGCACCACAGGGCCACCTTGAGACTCTCCGAGAAGTTTATCCTCCTCCTCATCCTAAGTGCCTTCATCACCCTGTGTTTTGGGGCCTTCTTCTTCCTCCCGGACTCTTCGAAACACAAACGCTTCGACCTGGGTCTGGAAGACGTGCTGATTCCTCACGTCCATGCCAACAAAGGGGCCAAGGACCCCGGGGGCTTCCTGATTCACGGGCCCGACGAACCCAGACACAGGTTTGTTCATTTCAGAGGTGGTGGTGGTGACACTTGGCAGGACAAGATAGGATTTATTGCATCAGATCTGTCGTGGTTGGTTGTTTTTTTGTTTGTTTTGTTTTTAAAACCTTTTTTCAGTAAGATGTCATTTTCCTTGAGTTGGGTGACTTGTTATTTCAAAACTGGTTTAAGTAGAACCACAGACTGAAAAGGGCTCCTTCGTTTTATACAGGAGGAGCATTTGTGTCCAGAGGTAACCTAAAGGGATCGTGGCATATGTTGTGTCTTCATTTTTTAAGAATGGGCTGCATTCCGTCACTGTGGCCCCCCCGGTGAGATAGATATATTGGATCCTGACAGCTTCTGTGGGTTTGTCCTCTCCTAAAGGGCTCTCGTTCTCTGACTTTGTAATTAAAACTTGGTAGTAAATCTTACTTTTTTAGGAAGACAAAGATGGGCAGAATATACCTGTGATTTAATATATATATATGTGTGTATATACGTCTATGTATATACACACACATAGATATACATAATAATACATATATATGTATATATTGATTTGAAAGAAGAGAGAGGGAGAGAGAAACAACCATGATGAAAGAGAATCATTGACCAGAGGTTGCCTCCTGCTGAGGTTCCACCCTACAACCCCAGCATGTGCCCTGACAGGACATGGAACTGTGACCTCCTGGTCATAGGTTGACACTCAACTATGGGGCCACCTTGGCCTGGCATCATTTCTTAACATGCAAGAATATTCTGATTATTGTTATTTCTAGGGGGTGTCTTTGGGTGCTCTATATGGAATCAGTGAAGTTAAAGATGCCATTGAATCTTGTCGTTTCACTTTGAGAGTCATGGAGACTAGATCTGGCTTATGTTTTAAAATTTAATTTTACCCTGATATATATATAGTTGAGAGGTGGACTGTGTCAGGTAACTATTAGAAGGTGATCGATTAAAGGGTTCGCGTTCTTTCAAATAATCAAATCTGAAGTTACCTCTTGGGAGACTTTGGCCAAATTGGCATAAAATGGGAGCTTTACAGTCTCTTTAAATCATTTATGTAGTTTGTATCAAAAGAAGAGTTTGAGAAAGTACTTACTTTTCTCAAACCTACATTTTTTTAAATTTATTTATTTACCGGTATTTATTTATTTTTTTGGCTTACTAAATCTTTACCTTCTTTTCTTACAGTAGTTTTTCAGTGTGCAATAAGAATCATATGCTTGAGTTGTTCTCGGCTGGCGTTATTTTAACTTTTTATCAAGCATAAAGTTTTTGAGAAAGCATAGGTTCAGATGTGAGCCTGAGTTAAATACTTGGGAAAACGCACTATTGTAGTGAGAGTGGGGTTTTCCTTTTCTCAATCTTGTTCATTTATTATTTGCTTGCTGCTGCTTTGACTTTTGGCTGAACCTTATGGAGTAGTTACTTCTAAAACTGTTTCATGCCATTATTTTGTAATCAAATTAATTTGGAACTTTTGCCATCATTTTTAACTTCTGTACTCTTTTGTATTTATTTCTTTTATTTTGTCTTTGCTCTATGCGATTTGAAAAAAAAAATTAAGATTTAAGAAATCATTTTATAAATGGCTAGAATTTCTTTATTACAGTAGACTCCACCAAGCCCTTCCTCCCCCGCCTTTTTCCATGGTTCTGCTTTTTGTGGTTTCAGTTACCTGAAGTCACCCATGGTCAGAAAACATTAAATGGGAAATTTCAGAAATAAGCAATTCGTAAGTTTTAAATTGTGTGTCTTCTGAGTAGCATGATGAAATCCCATTCCATCCTGCTCTGTCCCTCCTGGAAAGTGAATCATCCCTTTGTCCAGTGAGTCCACACTGTGTACGCTACCTGTGGTCACTTAGTAGCCCTCTCAGTTATCAGATCCGCTGTCCTGGTATTGCAGTTTGTGTTCAAGTCTCTTGTTTTACATAATAGCCCCAAAGCAAAAGAGTAGTGATACTGACAATTCAAATATGCCAAAGAAAAGCCATAACATGCTTTCTTTAAATCAAAAAGTATGTGTGTGTAGAGAAAAACAATGTGTATAGGATTTGGCACTATTCATGGTTTTAGGCAGCCTCTGGGGGTCTTGGAATGTTATCTCTAGCGGATAAGGGAAGACTACTGCATATGATCATTTATGTAATGAAATCTGTACCAATTTAAAAAGTAAATGAATGAAATGTTATATACATTCTTATTTTTCATAAGTTTAAGAGTAAACTTTATATACTAGCCTGAAGGTAATAGTTATATTTATAGAAGTATTTCCAGATGTCACTTTTGAGCCTGGTTAACAATTAACATCTCTTAATTTATCTAAGACTATAGGTTAGTAGGATTGATCTTGTGAAAAACAAGTGTCCTTTAGTAATTCAGGCCTCAGACCTTGTGAAATTTTCTTTAAGACTGTAATTTCCTAACGTTAACGTTGAGAGATGTCTTTGACAGTGTTCTCTTTTGTTCTTCATATCTTAACAAGAACTTTGGAGACAAGTTATATCGTTTTTCTTACAAAAGGATATGAAGTATTCTGGAGAATACAAAGAATATGTGTGCTGTTTTCTTTTTATATTTTTTGACATTTACCTGTCTATAAAATCAACCTTTGTTACTTATGCAGATTTCTTGATGTCTCTTTAGTGATATTGCTGTTATCATTTAAAGAATATTGGTCATATTTATTCAGCAAATTCAGTAGTTATTAAGTGCAAAGCATTATACGAAGTATTGGGGATTATTGGAGAATAATGTAGATGATTAATTTTGACTCCAACACGACTGAAACATTTAAATCTTAGGTTCAGATCTCAACATCATTCTTAAAGCACTTATTATCTTTGGAGTCAGATTCTAGGGATTCTTCTTATTTCAGTGAGGCTCTGGTGCTTTTAGGTCATGGCATTTTTCAAGAGTTCAGATAACTTACTGTTTTATCTTTCATCCTCCCTGCCCCACCTCTTCAAACCCCCCGACCCCCCCAACCCCTGCCCCATAAGCATTTATGCCATTAACTTAACGCATTTCTGGCATGTGGACTAGGCTATCTGGATATAAAGTGCAGCTTTTTTTTCCACAAGGAACTAGACCCTGGCATCTGCTAATCATTGTGCTAAATTGAGATCTGGCACAATTCTATGTGTTTATGTATCTAAAATTATTTCTGTGTAGCTATATGGTTATGTTTGTTACGTTTATAAAGTAATATGTGCATACATTAACCCTTCAATACTTGGCAGTAAGGTGGTATCTGATATGAAGTTTGTGTTTGTTTGGTGTATATCTGTTATGCATATTATAGTAAATGCAAATTATTTTCCCATTAATTTGTGATGCCATTATAAAACATTTTCTTTTTCATGATCTAGATTTTTTTCTCTGTACTTAGAAAGATTGGAAAAACCTAGGGTGTGGTGAGCAGTGAACAGCTGGTTCATCCTATGCTTAGCCTGTTGGTGTAAGTCTAAATTAATAGAATTCTTGTGAAGAACAATTTAGTAATATTAGCTCATTTAAAGTACATATTCTTTTATCCAGTAGTTTTTCTAAGAACTTATTCTTGGTAAATCTTCACATCAGTGCACAAAGTAATGTACAAGAATGTTCCCTGAAGCCAAAACATGACATATTGTAAATGATTCAAATGTCTGTCAACAGGGGATTAGTTAACTAAATGATAATATATCACTATATGTGCAGAGTTCTTTTCTTTTTTAACCCCTCATGAATTTTTCCGGCTATTCTGAAAAACACATGCTATTTTAATTTCATAATTATATAATAGTATGTTCTGGTATCTAGTTTATATTTTCTATACCAGCTTTGTTTTTTAATTTAATTTTATTTAAAAAAATATATTTTATTGATTTTTTACAGAGAGGAAGAGAGGGGGATAGAGAGTTAGAAACATCGATGAGAGAGAATCATCAATCAGCTGTCTCTTGCACACCCCCTACTGGGGATGTGCCTGCAACCAAGGTACATGCCCTTGACCGGAATCGAACCTGGGACCTTTGAGTTCTCAGGCCTACGCTCTATCCACTGATCCAAACCGGTTTCGGCTAGCCTTTTTAAAAAAAAAAAAGTTATAAGCATAGATAAAAGTCTTAACAGATAATATTAATATCATATTAATTACTTTAAATCTGAAAATTTCAGCTGAAGATTACCTTTCTTGAGGTAAACCTCAGAGTTTGACATTACATGGTTTTATTACAGCATATATATTCATATAAATTACATACAAATATATATATTGTTTTGCATGTTCTTAAACATATATAATTCTTTAAGTTTTTTTCTTTTTGCTCAAGTTTTTTTTTAAGGATTTATGTATGTTAATATATTGGGCTGTGGTTCAATTATCTACTATAGGTATACATGCTTAAACTTCAAATTATTTCTACATTCCCCTGTTAATAAATATTTAGGTTAAGTCCATATTTTTGCTACAAAAATATTCTTGTACATGTATTCTTGTGCGCCCCCCGCCCCTCTGAATTTTTCCTTTGGGATAAAAGCTTAGTAATAAACTATTAAGTTGTAAAGTATGTGCATTATTGACTCTAAATTTTGTTGCTCAATTAGTCTGTACAGTAGTTGCACCAATTTGTACACCTACATTTTTGCAAACCAAGATATTGTGTATTTAAAAAATCTTTACCAATCTGATGCCAATTTTAGTTTTCATTACTCTCATTATTGAGTGAGGTGGAATATTTTAAAAAACATATTTATTAGTTATTTGGGTTTCCTAGCCTTTGTTTACTCACATTTTTTTTTTTTTTGCCTGTTTTTTCTTACGGTTTATTTTCCTTCTTAAAATTCATTTGTAGGAATTATTTATACATCCTGATGAATTCTTAGGTAGGTGCATTACATGTATCTTCTTGCAATGGGTGTCTTATTTTTATACTTTGTTTATAGTATCTTTAGTTTTATAGACATGTCACATTTTAATAAAATTGAAAGTGTCCATATTTTCCTTTATGGTATTACTAGAGGCTCAATGCACGAAATTCAGGCACTCCAGGCTGCTCGGAGAGGAATGTTCCTCAGTCCAGCCTGCATCCTCTCTAATCTGGGACCCCTCGGGGGATGTCTGACTGCCAGTTTAGGCCCTGTGAGATTGAGCCTAAATCGGCAGTCAGACATCCCTCTCACAATTTGGGAATGCTGGCTCCCAACTGCTCCCCTGCTGGCCCGATTGCCCCCAACTGTCCTCTCCTGCCAACCCAGTCACCCTCAACTGCCCTCCCCTGCCAGCCCGGTCATTCCCAACTGTCCTCCCCTGCTGGCCTTGTCGCCCCCCACTGCCCTCCCCTGCTAGCCTGATCGCCCACAACTACACACCCTTGCTGGCTATCTTGTAGTGGCCATCTTTAACCACATGAGGGTGGCCATCTTGTGCGAGGGTGTGAGGTCAGTTTGCATATTACTTGTTTATTATATAGGATTGCTTTTGGGATTTGGCTTAGGGCAGTGGTTTTCAACCTTCCTAACGCCACCACCCTTTAATACAGTTCCTCATGTTGTGGTGACCCCCAACCATAAAATTATTTTCATTGCTACTTCATAACAGTAATTTTGCTACTGTTATGAATCGTTATGTAAATATCTGTGTTTCCCAATGGCCTCTGTGAAAGGATCATTCGACCCCCAAAGGACTTGCGACCCACAGGTTGAGAACTGCTGGCTTAGAGAATGCTTTTCTACCTTGAAGTTATATTCTCCTTGTTTTTAATTTTGGTAGTTTTAAATTTTTGTTTTTCACAGCTTGGTTTTGATTTTGGTGTATGATGAGGTTAGGATTGAATTGATAATGTTTTATACTGGTATCCACTTGTTCCCATGCTCCTTATTGAAGAATCTGTACTTTCCCATAGATTTGTAAGGTCATTTCTGCTGTATAACATTTTTTCATTTGTTCATAGGTTTGATTCTAATAAGAATTCTAACAAGAATCAAACCTATGTGTTGAACTAATAGGAAACCAGCTGACAAAACAAGAGACAGAGGTAATTTGCTGAGTCTAAGCTCTGGCATCATGAAGTAGAGTATGGAAGAGCGGAATTAGAATTGAGAATTTTGGTTTACTTATTTATGACCCTCTTGTTTTTAGCGCATTGACTTGAAGGAGAGGAATCTTAGATACATATAGTAGAAACCAGCTGTAATGCATGTAAAATAGGAATTTATTGGAAAGATATTGGTTGGCTTTCAGAATTGACATAAGATCTGGAGAACTAGGTTTAGAAGATATTCAGGCATTAAAGGAAGGCAGGTATGCAGAACCATGGTGAAGGTTAAGGAACAGTTAGTGTACCATTGTTGGTGCGCACACATATATGCACACCATTTATGCTATTTTACTTTGGTCTTGTTTTTTTTTGGGTCATAGTTGTAGTTCGCTGGTTATGGCTTTGCTGCCTCTGGTCACTAGATTCCTCTGCTTTCTGAGTGACTTCTAAAATTGAGTTATTGTTCTTTATGCCACTTGCTCCGGATCTGTAGTTTCAGCCAGAGCGTCTGATTTCCTAGGTGTAGATCACAGGGCCGTCCTTGCCTTGATGTTAGACAATAGAAAGATAAAGTACCCAGAACCATTTGACTTCTATAGGAAGAGAAGGGGGTTCTACTCCGTGTTTCCCCGAAAATAAGACATCCTCCAAAAATAAGAGCTAGCGCATGGAAAGATAAGACATCCCCGGAAAATAAGACCTAGTGCAACTTTGGGAGAAAAAATATATAATATAAGACACTGTCTTATTTTCGGGGAAACGATACTAATATACTGGTGAATTTCTGAATTTAGATAGATTACATATTAACGTCTTAAATGTAAAGTAAACTGCAAAAAACCCTAAGTTGTATTATTGCAGTGATGAAGTTCTGAGTTGTGCTGTACTATTTAGAAATGTAAATATAGTCTTCTTAGACTGTATATTTTAGCACTTTCTGTGCAGTGGTTTAAAATGGGCCAGTACTGCTTACCGCCCCCCCCCCCCTTAATAATATAAATTCATGGATGTCACACAGACCTGCTGAATTGGAATCTGTATTTTTAACAAAGGCTCAAGAGACTTTTAAGTAGTCATGCCCACATCAGTTGGGAACTGTTGTGCTGTAAGCTCCATGTTATTTCCAAGATGCAAAAGTTATAAAAGAGCATGAGGTACTATATAACAAAATGAAAAATTTCCATTCTCTTATTTTTCTGCTTATCTCTTTCCTTGACCCTGTTTATATTTTTGTCCATCTTGATACTAAGTTCTTAATTCTGTTTTTTAAATTTTCTCTCTCTGCTAGTTTTTCACTGGTATGTCTCTCGTCCTTTCTCCCTCCCCCCCCCCCTTTTTTTTATGTGTCTACTGATTGCTGTTTTCTCTGTTTTCATTGGTCCTGAAGTTGTAACTTTCTTTCTAGGTTCCCTCTTCCTCCATTGTGTAAAGTGTTAGCTATTTGGCATCCAGAGCTCATACCAAGTTATATTTATCCTGTTCTTTGGGCAGATAAATATGAGTCTCTCACAGATCATTGCTGTCTTTCAATGGTAGGAGTAGGAATCAACTGTCTGGGTTTGGTGGAGGAAACTTTAAGTTTCATGTTTAAAGCTTAGAGGGTATTTTTTTTTTAAATTTAATAAATCTTTATTGTTCAGATTATTATAATTGTTTCTCCTTTTTCCCTCCATAGCTCCCCTTCACCTGGTTCCCATTCTACCCTCTGCCCTTACCTCTCCCACACTGTCCTCATCCATAGGTGTACAATTTTTGTCCAGTCTCTTCCCGTACCCCATTCCCCCTGATGAGAATTATCAATCCACTCCCATTCTGTGCACCTGATTCTATTATATTCATCAGTTTATTCTGTTCCTCAGATTTTAATTCACTTGATTTTCAGATTCACTTGTTGATAAATATATATTTGTTATTCATAATTTTTATCTTTACTTTTTTCTTCCTCTCAAAGAATACCTTTCAGCATTTCATATAATACTGGTTTGGTGATGATGAACTTCTTTAGCTTTTTCTTATCGGTGAAACTCTTTATCTGATCTTCAATTCTGAATAACTTTGCTGGGTAGAGGTTGTAGGTTCTTGCTATTCATCGCTTTGAATATTTCTTGCCACTCCCATCTTGCTTGCATAGTTTCTGTTGAGAAATCAGCTGATAGTCCTATGGGTGCTCCCTTGTAGGTAATTAACTGTTTTTCTCTTGCTGCTTTCAAGATACTCTTTGTCTTTTGCCCTTGGCATTTTAATTATGATATGTCTTGGTGTGGTCCTATTTGGATTCCTTTTGTTTAGGGTTCTCTGCACTTCCTGGACTTGTAAGTCTTTCTTTCATCAGGTGGGGAAGTTTTCAGTCATTATTTCTTCAAATAGGTTTTCAGTATTTTGCTCTCTTCTTCTGGCATCCCCATAATTCTGATGTTGGTATGCTTGAAGTTGTCCCAGAGGCTTCTTACACTATCTTTAACTTTTTGGATTATTTTTTCTTTTCCAGTTGAGTATTTTTTGCTTCTTTGTATTTCAAATCTTTGACTTGATTCTTGTGTTCCTCTAGTCTGCTGTTGGGTCTCTATATATTTTTATTTCAGTCAGTGTATGTTTAATTTCTAGTTGGTCCTTTTTCATATCCTTGAGGGTTTCATTAAATTTATCGACCTTTTCTAGGAAATTCTTGAAAAACCTTATAACCGTGGTTTTGAACTCTATATCCAGTCTTTGTCTTCCTCCATTTCTTTCATTTGTGATCTGTTTCCTTGTCTCCTCATTTCGCTGCTTCCCTGAGTTGGAAGGGTGGCTTTGTGTGCGAGGTGTCCTATATGGTCCAATGGGTCAGCCTCCCAGTTACCTGAGGTGGACACTCTTGGTGCATCCTTTTGTGGACTGTGTACAACCTTGTTGTAGTTAAGTCTTGATTGTTGTTGGTGTCACTGGGAGGAATTGACCTCCAGGCTAATTGGCTGTGAGGTCCCGCTGTGTCTTTAATGGAAGAATTGCTGTGCTGGAGACATGCTTATGGGGCAGGACTTGTTTCAGTTGGGCTTTGGTGCTCACTGAGTCTGCCTCTTGAATGTGTCCCTTATGAGAGTAGTTGAAATTTGGTGTCGTCTCACACAGACTAACAGATACACTAGCTTCTGGATCTCCAATGGGGGGCAGGTCAGCTACTGTCTGAGGCCACCCAGCAAGAGCTACAGAGAGAACTACAGTTTTCTCCTCTTTGCTTGGGGTTTGAAGGTTTTGGAGCTGCAATTTGTTTGCCTAAACTGCAATATGGCAGGCCATTTATATGCAAAAGCTGCTGCATGGAGCTTGGGTAGGTGAGTATTGTGCAGGGCAGAGTCTCAGGGCATCGCTAGACTAGGGTGTGGCAAACAGTGATGGCTGCCAGTTAGCCTTCTCTGCGTTTTCAAGTCCCTGCATCCTGTGCCCCAGCGCTGTAAACAATGATTGCTGGGTGCACCTCTGCAAAAAAGTCACCCTCACCTTCTGACCTGTGGCCAACAGTTCAGCTCCTCCCCATAGGAGTTTGAGTCCCCAGCATCTCCTCAGAAACTGGATTTCAGAGTAATTGGGAGCTTGTCTCCCTTCAGTTGAAAAAAAGCAGCACATCTAATTGTCCTCCAACCAGCCTGATTTGTGGGCCTCCGTATCTCAGCTTTTCAGTGCTTGTGCATGTCTCAGTGCTCTTCTCTTTCCTTCTATTTGTAAAACTTCCACTCAGCCAGTTTTCCCATGGTTCTGGGTGATAGACATTTTGTCTTTTAGTTGTAGTTTTGAAATTGTTGTGTGAGGCGGCAGTTTAGGTGTTTACCTATGACACCATCTTTGTTTATCCAAAGCTTGGAGGTTTTAAGGGTCATTCTAAGCAGTCTTTTTTTTCCTCCTCTTCTTACAGGGAAGAAGAGGAACGTTTGAGGAATAAAATTCGAGCTGATCATGAGAAGGCCCTGGAAGAAGCAAAAGAAAAATTAAAAAAGTCGAGAGAGGAAATACGAGCAGAAATTCAGACAGAGAAAAATAAGGTAGTCCAAGATATAAAGATGAAAGAGAAAAAGCCACTACCACCAGTTCCTATACCAAAACTTTCAGGAATAAATGGTGGAGATCCAGAAGATAATGACATAAGAATGAAAAGGGAAAAAATTAAAGAGGTAATAATAAGCCTAGATTTATGATATCAAGTGGTTATAGACACATATTTGGACACACACACACACATGCATACCATTGATGCTATTTTACTTGGGTCTTATTTGTTTTTGGGTCATTTTTGTAGTTCATTTTCCAAGTTGATAGTAAAGGCTAGAACTTCCTTTTAATATGTGTTATAATGTAAGTATTGGTCACTTAAAATTTTGCTATAATGTTTGGATGATTACATTTTTCTCTCTGTGTTCAGAAATCTTTTGATAGCATTTTATAAATAATGTAGAATAGATTTATAAATAAGTTATCACTGAATAAGAAATATCTTTAGTGTTAAGTTAAAAGGGACTCTGCTGTATACTATGCATATCTCCTCACAAACATGCTTCTGAAGAGTTAGCTTTATAACTGTCATCTTTTTAAAAATTATATTTTTATTGGTTTCAGAGAGGAAGGGAGAGGGAGAAAGAGAGAGAAACATCAATGATGAGAGAGAACCACTGATCAGCTATTTCCTGCATACCCAACACCAGACATTGAGCTGGCAACTCAAACATGTGCCCCGACCAGAACTGAGCAGTGACCTCCTGGTTCAGGTTGACACTCAGCCACTGAGCCATGCCCATTGGGCATATCTGTCATCTTTTAGGGAACGTGTCATGAAACCCCATAATTTTACAACAGATTAAGAACACATTCCTTCCAAAGAGTCTCAATGGACTGAAGAATGGGGAGGGATTGATCTCAGAATTCTTTATACTTATTTAGTCACAGAAGTCTTTCAGTTTGTTATTTTAGGAATGACTTAAAGAGAATACCATGGTGTGTGTGTGTGTGTGTGTGGTGTGTTTGTGGGGGTGTGTATAATTTAGTGAATATTTCAGTTGATCTTGGTAAATTAAAACTCCTGCTAATTTCGGGTGGAGTTTGCAGTTGGACTGCCTATGTAGATTTTGTCTGGGTGTAATCACATCAACAGTATTCCAAAGATACTGTTTATCATAAAATAAGATAATAAATTTAGTTCAACTACTCAAATATCTAGATGGATATATTTTAGTAACGAATATGAATGATTTAGCAGGTACTTAAACTTGATCTTATGAATTATTAAGACGATCTTGATGGAATAAAAATAGAACTTTACTCTGATTTTACCTCACCTTTGATATTTTGTTTTATGCCCAGATTTTTAAAGCACTATGTTTGGACAGTGTTCGGGAGACATTGATAGGTAGTTGTTGATTTTGTAAGATGGATGACCTGCTTTTTTTTAGATGTTATTAGATTTTATTGAAATACTGTCTCATGTACATAATAATTCAGATAGATTGCTGTATATTAAGACCACCCAAAGGTTCATTGATTTGCTAGAAGTACGCACAGGACTCGGCAAAGCTGTTGTATTTGTTGTTTCAGTTTATTACAATAAAGCTAAAGTTAATAATATAATAGACAAGGCACATAGGACAGAGTCCAGGAGAGACCCGGTGCAAGCTTCTAGTTGTCCTTTCCGACTGGAGTGATACAAACAGTCCTTGGTTCTCCCAGCAATGATGTGTGGCAGTGTGCATGAAGTATTGCCAACCAGGGACGTTCACCTGAGCCTTGATGTCCAGGGCTTTTATTAGAGGTTTGTTATGTGGGCTTGGCTGAGCTTAGTTCTCCGAGCCCTCCAGAGGTCAGGCTAATACCATGTGATCCAAAGTCCCTCCCATAAATCACATTGTTAACATAAACTCCGTAATCCAAATCAGTTTTCTTTTGTCCTCTCAGGTCAGTCCACCTGATTCTTTTGTCCCAGGCAACCACTGATCTGCTTTTAGTAATTATAGATTAGATTTGCCTTGTCTAGAGTTTCAATCAAAGGTAATAATAAAGTCTGTAGTATTTTGTTGCTCGACTTTTGCTCAGCATAATGTTTTTGAGGTTTATCTGTACAGATTCACTAAAGGTAATTTTTATTAGTGGTGATTCTTTTTTATGGATATACCATGGTTATATGCGTTCACCTGTTGAACATTTGTTCAACATTTGTTTCAGGTTTTGGCTGTTATGAATAAAGTTGCTGTGAACATTTGTGTGCAAGTCTTGTGTGGACACATGTTTTAGTTTTAGTTTTCACATTTCAGTTTGTGTTATACTGTGAGTTAATTTTTTTAATATGAGAAGTAAAGGTCTTGCATTATTTTTTTCACTTAGGGCTTTCTAGTTGTTCCAGTTGTTGAAAGGATTATTCTTTTCTGATTAAATTATCTTAATGCTTTTGTTCAAAATCAGTTGACAAAATCAGTAGGTGTTGAATGTCTTTCTGGACTCAAATCTATTCCATTAATTTATATATTTATCCTGAATGCCAGTATGACTCTGTGTTGATTGATTTATAGTAGGTTTTTAAATCAGATAAATCCTCCAATTTTATTCTTTATATAAATTGTTTTGGCCATTTTAGTTCCTTTGCCTTTCTATAATTTTCTGTGAAAATAAGAGGTTGCTGGAATTTGATTGGGATTTTATTGATATGTAAATCTATTTGGGAAAATTGTTATCTTAACAATAGTCTTTCAATCTTTCCACTTTTTAGGTTTTCTATAATTTTTCTCAGCAGTATTTTGTAATTCTCACTATATTTTGCACATATTTTGTTATATTTATTCCCAAGTATGTTATGTGTTTTGATACTATTATAAAATGGAGTTGTTTTAAAATTTCTATTTCTGTTGTTTATTACATAGGAATATATTTTAGTTTAGTTTGTTAAACTTTTATCCTGTTATTTTCCTAAAGTCATTTATTAGTTCTAGTGACTTTTTAAAAGATTGCTTTGCCGAAACCGGTTTGGCTCAGTGGATAGAGCATCGGCCTGCGGACTGAAAGGTCCCAGGTTCGATTCTGGTCAAGGGCATGTACCTTGGTTGTGGGCACATCCTCAGCAGAGGGTGTGCAAAGGCAGTTGATCGATGATTCTCTCTCATCGAGGTTTCTAACTCTCTATCCCTCTCTTTTCCTCTCTGTAAAAAAATCAATAAAATATATATTTTTAAAAAGATTGCTTAGAGTTTTCCTTGTACAGAGTCATGTCCTTTGTGACTAGAAAAACTTTTATCTTTTTCCTTTTTATGTCTTTAATTCTTTTTCTTCTTATTGCACTCTCTAGGACTGCTAGTACATTTTTGAAAAGTAGTGGTGAGAGTGGACATACTGGATTTTTTTCTCAATTTTAAGGGTTAAGAATTTAGTCTTTTAGCATTAAATATGTTGTTAGAAATAGTTTTTTGTGTTTTTTTTTTTTTTTTGACAATGCCCTTTATTACATTGAGGATTTTCCTTGTAGTTATAGTTCACTGACAGTCTTTATCATGAGTGGGTGTTTAATTATGTCAGATGCTTTGTCTACACCTGTAAAGGTTACTGGAGGATGGTTTTCTTTTTATTCTGTTAACATAGTGAATTATATTGATTGGTTTTTGAATGTTAAATTAGTCTTATATTTTTGGGTTAAATTGCATTTGGTCATTATATCCTCCTATATTGCTAATTTTTAGTTCAGTAGTTTTGCATTTGTGTTTTATATTGGTTTTTAGTTTTCTTGTAATGACCTTGTCTACTTTTGGTGAAGAATAAGGTTGGTTGCAAAAAGCAAGCTGAGAAATGTTTTCGTGAATAGTGTACTGTTAAATAATTTTTATATATACTACAGTCTACTATAATTTTTATATATTACAGTCTACTATTAAATAATTCAATTGTTATATAAATAAATACTTTGTTATTGTATTGCTTAGACTTCTGAGTTGTAAGGAAGTTCAACCTTATTGATATAAAAATATTTTATTAGCTTAATGGTTCTGAGAGCGTCAAGTTTTGCTGAACCCAAGACTGTAGATGTTATTGTCAATAATATGTACCGTATCTGTCTCTTTCTTTCATTACTTAATTTCTCCATTTTGGGAAAGAGCCTCCATCAGCTCCAGGATTATATATTACTTAGAGTTTGAGATTGCAAAATGAGAGAGGCTTTCTGTCTCCTATCATCTATAATAATATGTATAAAGGGACTTGAACATCCCTTCTTGAATCACATATATACAATCACTTTGTCCGGGTCAGGAGTAGGTAAACCACAACCTGCGGGCCAAATTCTGCCTTTATTTTTTAAAAGTAAAGTTTAATTGGAACAGGCATGCTCATTGTTTATGTATTTTCAAGGGCTGCTTTTATGCTACAACAGCATAATTAAGTAGTTGCTATGGAAACTGTACGGACATCAAAGCCTAAAATACTTATTTTAAAGAAAAAGTTTGCTGATCTTTGGTCTAAAGGTAAGGGGTTCTCTAGACAGGCTTTGTTAATTGGTTGTGGAATCAGAGCCTCTTGATTGACAGCTCTATCATAATCACAGTGAGGGAAGAGAGCAGTTCCAAAAGGATTGGCAGTTCCTAAAAGCAAAGGATGCGAAACAGACATCTTCCTTCTAAATATAAAAGGACTTGACTATTACACTCAATTTTTCCTTGTGTTGCATAGACCCTGAGATTAAACATTATCATGTATACTGATACAAATGTTAATAGAATAACATATTCTGAGTAAGGCTGATTAATGTAGGAAATATATGAGAATATGTAAGGATATAGGAATGGAATCCTTAAGTTATATAAAATACAAAGATAACAGTGTGAATAATGTAAATTGATGGTTTATAACTTTTTCTCAGATGATGAAACATGCCTGGGATAATTATAGGACATATGGATGGGGACATAATGAACTCAGACCTATTGCAAAGAAAGGACACTCTACTAATATATTTGGTAAGTTTACTTTTTCTGATTACTATTTCCATTTTCTGTGTCTATTTTTAAAACGAGATTAACTTTTTAAATACTTTGTAAACCTGAGTATTTCTATGGAATGGGATTATAATTTGAAGCAACACTCATATTTTTTTTTTTATCAATTTTCAGTCAAGATTTGAAGCAACACTCATTTTTTTTCCCCCTCAAGTTTCAGTCAAGATTGGTTGTGGTTGCTTTGAAATACATAGATATGTAGTTTGATCTGTCGAGTACTAAATCTTTATATCTTTATAAACAGCAATAAGGCTGATTTCCTTTCTTAATGTTTGTGTGTACTTTTTATCTCGTTCAAGAACTTTTTCTTTTCATTCACATCTTGCTGATTGGTGCAAAAGGTCTAGCTTTCAGCCTACCTTGGCTCTTAGCATGCCTTCCTCTGTAAGCATTATCATTTCTAGCTCTTAATTTAAATTGAGACATGCTTTTATTTGAATAGTTAGAGGCCATTGTAGGGTTATTAATTAGTATAATTTTAAATTGCTGTGGATCAGGGAATAGGGAGGCCTAAGGAGAAGGTGAGAGATGGGGAACAGCTGGTTGGTGGAACAGTCAGAACATACACAGCATTTATTAACTTTTTCATCTTATATGGGCACCACAAAATAATTTCAAGAGTAACATTAAAAACCACTGATCATCACCATAATGAAGAAATTTGAAATATTGTGAGAATAATAAAAATGTGAAGCGAGTAAATGCTGTTGGAAAAATTGGGGCTGATAGACTTGCTCGGCAGAGGGTTGCCAAAAACCTTCAATTTGTAAAAAACACAGAATATCCGTGAAGCACAGTAATACAAAGCTCAATAAAATGAGGGAAGCCTACACATAGAACAATTAACATGCCCAAGGTGATCTACTTGGTAAATTGAGTGGGTTATGCTGTACATTCACAGCTACAAAGGATAAATGAACAGTGTAAATGGGGAGGAAGCCTGGGAAGAGCTGTGTTTGACGTGAGTTCTCTAACGTTCTGCCTCTCGAGTTCAGTCCACTTATTAAACTTCTCAGTTCAAAGTTAACTTACTTAGTTAACATCTTTTACTTAGTCCAATGATAAGTTTGAGAATTATAAAAATTATTTTTAGAATCTTCACTTCTTTCCACTATTTTAAATCTTGTTGTGAGGGATATCTTTTAAATAAAAATAGGTGAAAATACTAATGGGGTGACAAGGCACATAAGCTAATCATATACAATGTAGTTGTCTCTACTGGTTGTAACACATCACTACAGTACCTCAGATAGCAGCATATTTCTTTATAAAACTATGGAAGAATTTTTCTAATGCTATAATTCTCTTACAATTTTTTTTTTTTTTTTTTTTTTTTTTTTTTTTTGCTTGGATGCTTTCTGTAAAAAAGAAAACTGGGAAGTTACTTTTTCCTGGGTTTGAAAGATGTTGGGATGGAGAAATAATGGAAAAAATTTTAAATATTATTTAAAATTTAAAATTATAACGAGATATCAGAGATCTCATTATATGACATTTAATTTAGCAGAGATCACTTAATGAAATAAGTATATTTCCTCAGCAGAGGTTACAGATGGAAAAGTTCCCATTGCTTTGTAGATGCCACAATGGGAGGCATTAGTGCAGTAAAATCCATTATATTAAACGGTTAATTAAAATTAGATCCTCCCGGAGTGTGTCGCTGCGGGCTGGCACGCGCCACCTGGTACCGGAAGTCCAAGTGGGCGGGTTCCACTCCTGACCGACCGACCGCTCATGTCTCTGCAGAGCCAAGTCCCAGGCCCCCTGGCGCAGCTGTGTGTGGCGGGACGGCTGCTTGGTGCCCCTCGCCCCTGGCGGGGCACCTTAGCCTGTGCCAGGCAGGCCCGCAGCCGTGCGTGCGGCCCTCTGCCCACCCCTGACGCCAACGGGCCGCGCACGCGGAGCCCAGCGGGAGTTGGGCCGTGGGCGGCGCTGGCGGTGGGGCGGAGAGCTGGGGTGTGCACCTGGACCCCCCTGGCCTTGGCGGCGAAGGTGGACCCGAACACCACCAACTGGAGGGAGGCAAAATCCTTTCTGAAGGGCCTGAGCGATAAGCAGCGGGAGGAACATTACTTCTGCCTGGACTTCATCAGGCTGAACAAGATCCCGACCTGGAAGGAGACGGCGAAAGGGTTGGCCCCGAAGGTGGAGGAGACCGAGTACAAAAAGGACGAGCATCTCAACGAGAAGATCTCCCTGTTCCGAGGTGATATCACCAAGCTGGAGGTGGGCGCCATCGTCAACGCCGCCAACAACTCCCTGCTCGGAGGAGGCGGCGTGGACGGCTGCATTCACCGGGCCGCCGGGCCCCTCCTCACCGCCGAGTGCCGAACCCTGAAGCACTGCGAGACGGGGAAGGCCAAGATCACTAGTGGCTATCGGCTGCCCGCCAAGTATGTCATCCGCACGGTGGGGCCCATCGTCCGCGGAGCGCCCAGCGCCAGCCAGGCTGCCATGCTCCGCAGCTGCTACCTGAGCAGCCTCGCCTTGCTGGTGGAGCACCAGCTCCGCTCCGCCGCATTCCCCTGCATCTCCACCGGAGTGTTCGGCTACTCCAAGGAGGCAGCGGCAGAGGTAGTGCTGGTCGCGCTGCGCAAGTGGCTGGAGCAGCACAAGGACAAGGTGGACCGGCTGATCATCTGTGTGTTTCTGAAGAAGGACGAAAACATCTACCTGCAGCGGCTCCCCCACTACTTCCCAGTGGCCTGACCAGGTCTGAGTCGCTGCACACCCTGACCAGGGCGGAGTCGCCTGGGCCAGCTGGACCTTGTTCCAGCTCTAAGAGGCGCTGAAGCCTGCAACTGGGCCTGGCCACCCCATCCTGTCCTTCAGCCCCCTGCCCCTCAGAAGCCTCCTAATAAAGACCACCCTTATTGAAATAAATATCCTCTCTTCAAGTAAATATCCTGTTAAATTAAACTCAGTGGTAAAGGGTGAGCCCTTTTAAAGGATTGAAGTATAAAAGTGTACTGAAAACAAGAGTTGGATATTAATTTTCTAAATTAAAATTTTAGAGAGGAAGGGAGAGAGGAGAAACATAGATTTGTTGTTCCACTTATTTATGCATTTATTGGTTTATTCTTGTATGTGTCTTGACTGGAATCAAAGCAGAAACCTTGGCGTATCAAAACAGTGCTCTAACCAAATGAGCTACTCAACCAGGGCCTCTGCTTGTTTTTTTAAACCTCCTTTCTCAGAACATTTAATGTATCAACATTTATCAATTAGATACTAGTTTTAGGCAAGGTATTAGGTCTAGTAATAATTAATGTCGTTTTCTAATACTTTTTTTAAATCGAATTTATTTAAATAATACAACAAAATTTAATCAACAATATAGTTGCTGTTGTTTTCTACTACTTGTGCCCAACGCTCAGGAAGCATTTTAATCCCTCTGTTGTAAAATTCTTGTGATTTTGATGCAAAAAATTCGGTCAATGCATTTTTGAGGCATTCTTCATTATTAAATTTTTTTCCAAGAAGAAAGTTTTGCAAAGAACGAAACAAATGGTAATCGGAAGGGGCAATATCAGGAGAATATGCAGTTTGAGGGAGAACTTCCCATTCCAACTGGCGCAGTTTTTCAGCAGTGATTCTTGCAGTATGCGGTCGTGCGTTATCGTGGTGAAGAATTACGCCCTTCCGATTAATCAGCGCGGGTTCTTTTTCTCTTAAAGCTTGGGCTAACCTTTCCAATTGGGCACTATACACTGCACTTGTAATGGTTTGGTTAGATGGTAAAAGTTCATAATGAAGAATTCCTTTAAAATTCCACCAAACACACAACATCACTTTTTTCGCATGCAAGTCAGGTTTTGGCGTGGGCTGCGGAGCCTCATTTTTGTCCAACCATTGAGGCTGCCTTTTCAAATTAACATACAGCACCCATTTTTCATCTCTGGTAACAATTTGCTCTAAAAACGGCAAACGGTTTTGACGAGAGAGGAGCGAACTGCAAATTGTGACTCTTTGATTACGGTTGTTGTCGGTCAACTCATGAGGAACCCATTTTCCAAACTTTTGGACTTTGCCAAGTGCACGCAATTGATTGGAAATTGTTTTTTGTGAACAATTTAAAGTTGTCACAAGCTCTTGTTGGGTAATTTGAGGATTTTGCACCAAAAGAGCTTGAAGAGCTTCTTGATCAAAATTGGACACACGGCCTCGACCACTCTTGCCATCTAACGAAAAATTTCCCTTGCGAAATTTCTCAAACCAACGCTGGCATTTTCTGGCGCTAACTGCATCTTGACCAAGAGCGCTACAGATGATTTTTGCAGCCTCACTTGCTTTTCTTCCTAATTGGAACTCGTAAAGCATGCAGTGCCGAATATGCTCTTCACCCGCCATCTTCTTAGCCCTAGTTTTGCAACAAAAACCAAACCAAACACAAACTTTTTCAACCAAAACTTGTTAATTGCACTTCACACGTTCTGTAGATACCACGTGTTTGAAGGTTATGTCAATACAAGTCAACGCCAAGCAAGATTTTAAACGAATGTTTAAAAACGACATTAAATATTACTAGACCCGATATTTTAGAGATGAGAAAGCCAAAGCACATTTAGGGTCAACTAACTTTTCTTAAGTCACACAATTAGGAAATAATGGGGCCAGGATTTGAATCCAAACATTTTAGTGCTTTAGATCCATGCTTATAACCACTATTCTATACTGCCTCAGGAATCCTTCAAGATAGAAAAAGGTAGTATCGGACATAGGGAAAATCCAGTATGAGAAGAAAATGATAGTGAAATGGTAGACAAAGTTGAAAATGCAATCTGCAGAAGTTTTAGTAGTCAAAATTAACTGCGTATATCTTTTAATAATTTTGCCTATCTGTGCCTTGGAGTTTTTAGCCGATGGCACAAACCTTAAAAGTACATATAAGCTGAAATAAGAACAAAAACTGGTACGCAAGGATTTAAAATAAGCATAAATATTTTGGACAAAATACTAAAGGGAAATATTTAAGTGATTGTGGAAGATATAGGGATATATGGGTGATTAAATCACTTAATAAAGGTTTTATTATCTTAATAAAAGCTGAGGAGCAAGAAACGTAAAAGGAAAGTATGTCTGTAATAACCTAGAACATTCTAGTTATTATCACCATGGAGTTGGGAGAAGACTGGAGTTTGGGAATTTACCAAAGTGTGATGGAGTACTTGTCTTGTTATCAAGATACTATAGGCCCAGTGCAGGAAACTTGTGCACTTGCGAGGGGTGGGGGGCTTCAGCCTGGCCTGAACCCTCTTGATGTCCGGGAGCCCACAGGGAGCGGGCTTAAGCTGTCCATCGGACATCCTTATTGTTGCCATGGAAGTGGGAGAGGCTCCTGCCACCACCACTGGGCTTACCAGCTGTGAGTCCAGCTTCTGGCTGAGAAGCACCCCCCTTCCCCCCATGGGAATGCATTGACCACCAGGGGCCAGCTCCTGCATGGAGTGTCTGCCCCCTGGTAGTCAGTGCACATCGTAGCGACCAGTGGTTCTGCTGTTCAGTCAATTTGCTTATTAGCCTTTCATTATATAGGATACTTGATAAGTTGAAGAAAGTATTAGGAGCACATGAAATAAAGAAAATGTGGTGTAGTGAAGAACAACCTTAAGAATAAATTTGTATAGTGTTTTTTTTTTATTAGATCAAAACAAATTTTTTTTTTCAAATGCAAGCCTGTTACTTTTTTAAAAAAGATTTTCAGATATACTTTTAATTAATTTACTAAAATATTTTTTTCTATTACAGTTGTATAGCTATAAACTTTCAGAAGAAAATACTATTTAGCCAGTAGAGAAAGGACCAGAAGAAAAAAGGAAAGAAAAGAAAAACTAGTAAATTAAGTAATGTCAAATGCTGACTCCTAAAATATCACCAAGAAAACTCGTTAAGACAAAACTTTATCTTTGTTTAATGCTTACTTTGTAAAGTAGATCACTACCTCAACAGAGCCTTAGCCTGTCAGATGGGGAAGGAAAAAGTTGAGATATTTATTGAGATTTAAAATCTGTTTTTTAAGATGGGCCTTTTAGTTGGAGGAAGCTTGTTTATGATGATCAGATAAGGATCATGATACAATAATTTAGGATTGGTAAGTAGGAAATTTGGAGGCAAAGAGTTCAGAGCTTTGGCGTATAATCCATCTTGTGATACTTTCTGTTTAAGAGTTGATGGGTCTTTCAGTGAACAATAAAATTATTTTACACCTTTTATCATTCTGAACAAGAGACTCCTGGAACAGTAAACTCTTGATGAAGACAGTATAATAATTAAGTCATGTTAATGTAGATAGTAAGATATGTGGATGGTTTTTCTTCTCAGAAGATAGAAATAATAATTGCATTCCTGGAGTTGGGGAAAACCCAATTGCTCCCTTTTATTTATTTTTCTATGCTAGACTGTTAGCTAATACTTTATTCAGGAATCTTGTGGTTATATTCGTTAGTAAGATTAGCTTGATTCTTATCATGTGTTTTTAGTATCTAGTTTTGGTATCAGCTAACTTCTTTTAAAAATATATTTTTGTTGATTTTGGAGAGGTAGAGAGAGAGATAGAAACATCAGTGATGAAAAGAAATCATGGGTTGGCTGCCTCCTGCATAGATCCTACTGGGGATAGGGTCTGCAACCTGGGCTTGCTCTATGACTGGGAATCCAACCATTACCTGGTCCATAGGTCTGTGCTCAACCACTGAACCATGCCTGCCAGGCTCAGCTAGCTTTTTTTGAATTAGTTCCTCCCTCGTGGGAACATTTCCTTTAAGATTAGGATTATCTCGTTCCTGAAGATGGATAAATCTTATTATTTTGATTTTCTCCACTTACATTTGATTTATGACTTTCTTTTTCAGTATGATCAATCTGCTTTTTGATTATTAAGGATTATTGCAGTTTCTGTCCCATGATTATCTAGCCTTGTTGTACTTGTATTATTTTAAAATAGACATTTTGCTTTTTCTATGAATTTGTACCAGGAGAGGATGGTTGTCTTGAAACCGGACAACAAATAAGTCTGGACTGCCTGTCACTACTTAAGCCAGTTAAGCAGAGATAGAGTTGAATCATGTGAGCATTTTTATTTCCCAATTATTTATTTTCTAATATTACTGGCAGCATTGGAGAGCAGCAGGTCATCCACAGCAATCTGCTCTGCCCCCCCCCCTCCCCCTAATAAGCCTGCTACTTGTATTGGGAAGGACAAAGATTATGTGTGGAAGTAGACAAAAGGAGTAAGAATGGGTATTCAAATGGAATAAAAATGGGTAAAATGGTTACAGATTACAGGGCGGGGAGGGGGTGGGGGAGAAGAGAGGGATTCCTTGGGATTCCATTGCTTCCCAAGAAGGTTGCTAATCTTTTCATGATGATAGGCAGTTCTTGGATAAGGAGAATAGACCCCATTTCAAGGTTAACTCTCAGGTTGGGGGCCTACAACTTCCAGACAGGTCAGAATGTGCTTTCTTGAATCATGGTTAATAGAGCATGATTAATATTTATTAGAACTAGAGCAAGTCCCCACTGTAGGATTTCTCTCTCCCATCCCCACAGTCTTATGACTTAGCTTGTTATCTTGAACCAACCTTCCCATTTCTTAAATTAATCCTCTTTTTTATTCAACCTAATTTAGTTAAATAGATAGCTCTTATATTATGACCAAAAAGAAAAGTAAGGATAATTATAATTTTGAGTTTTTTTTTAAATCTCATTAGTTGTCAATGTGCCATTTTTAGGAAGATATATTAAACAATGTATATTATCTATTCTTAGAGAAAAGTGAACCATGTTGGATATTCTTTTGGGTCCTAATATTCCCTAATATTCCTACTTTTATTGGCTTTTTATAATGATAAAACGGTAATATGCTAATTAGACCAGACATCTTTTGGACATTCTGGACGTCCTTCCTGATGAAGCCGGGGCTGGTGGGAAGCCAGCCCGGATCCTGGGTGCCTGTGGGCGGCCTGAGGGAAGCCAGCCTGGGTACCGGGTGCTGGAAGCTGGTGCCAGCAGCCAGGGGAAGGAAGGCCTGCTCTTGCATGAATTTTCGTGCCTCGGGCCTCTGCTCTAAAATGTTACAATAGGCCTTGTGGGAAGGCCATCTTTTTAATGACAGTTTTTCATCTCCAAATATAGGAAGTTCACAAATGGGTGCTACCATAGTCGATGCTTTGGATACCCTTTATATCATGGGACTACATGATGAATTCCGAGATGGGCAAAAATGGATTAAAGAGAGTCTTGATTTCAGTGTGGTGAGTACACAGTTGACCATTTCTTTGATCGACTAAAATGACACAGTGTCAAACCCTAATAATTTTGTTTTTTTTAAACCCTAATAGTTTTGAGCACTTTACTAGGAGTTTAAGGAAATCCCAAGTCCCCTTTTTTTTCTTTTGGGATTATCAATTGTTATTTAATTTTTGCATAAAATACACATTCTCACCATCTTCCTTGTACTTTTCTTGCCGTTATCATTTGAGGTACTGTATTAAGGCAATAAATAGGTAGGGGAAGAACATATTAAACTAGAAATATGAGGAAAGCACAAACTGTAAATAATAAGTTTTATTATTTTTTAAAAGGTTTAACTATTTGGGCTCTGGCCGGTGTGGCTCAGCTGGTTGGGCTTTGTCTCGTGCACCAAAGGGTTGTCAGTTCCCAGTCAGGGCACATGCCTGGTAGGGATGGCTCAGTTGTTAAATGGCACTGCTCAGGTTTGAAGCCCAGCACAGCTGCATTCTAGCTGTGTGTCTTGGGAAAGTTCTGTATTCTTTCGGAACCATCATAAAGTACTATCGCACTGCAATATTGTGAGGATTATTTGAGATAATCTGGTACATACAATGTGCTCAGTAAATGGTAGCATTTTTTTTTCATTACCATTCTTCATCTCAAAGAAGTGTGGACTTTTTTGTTGTCTTCATTATCATCTTTCATGTATTTGTGCCTGCTGTTTCTCTGACTGTAGTCAGAAGTCCTTCTTTGTGTTTTTCTCTTTGGCAGACCCTGCATTATTCCAGTTGTGATTTAAATCCAAAAAAAAATTTTTTTTTTTTTCTAATGCCTTTTCTGATACTAACCTAGAAAAATATTATTCTAGCATTTCGGACATATTTTAGTTAGAACAATTTTTGTTATCAGGTAGGTTTAGGCTTGGCTATATGTGGCAGAAAACCCAATATAAAATATTATAGCTTAACCAAGATAAATGTTCATTTCTCTTTTAGTACAGAGATGGGCTTTTCAGGGTAGATTTGAGTAGCTCCTTGAGCATCAAAGTCCTAGGGTTTTTTGTCTTGTTACTCTGTCAACTTCAGTATGTAGCTTCAAACTCATGGTATAAGGTGGCTCCTCAAGATAAGGTAGATAAACCTTCCAGTTGCAGAACAGGGAAAAGGATAGAGAAAGATATGTAACCATTCTTTAAGAACACTTCTGGGGAGTTGGTCATCCCATTTTTGCTTCTATACCATTGAGTACTCTTACACATATGACCCAACCTTAGTAAAAAGAGGCTGAGAAATAATAGTCTCTCCCCCCACCCCTCCCCTTTTTGGCTATGTAGCCCTTATAGATTGCACTTTCTGTATCTTGTTTAAGAAGGCACTACTCCAGGGTCATGAAGATATATTACTATATTTAACTCTAAATATTTAATGTTTGCTTTTGCATTTAGGTCTTTAATTCATATGGAATTAATTTTTTTAATGCAAAGTGAGATAGGCTATCAGTTGATCCTTGTACCATTTATTTCCCCATTATTTATACATGCCACATTAGTTATATTAGTCTTTTGTTTTCTATTGGCTTTTTTCTTTATCTCTATACCATTATTAAACTGTCTTCACTACAGTATTTTTGTAAGAAGCTTGATATCTATATGTGAATCTTAATAGCTGATCTTCTTCCTCTATGAAATTACCTTAATTCTCAGCTCTTTGTTTTTTTTCAGCTCTGGATTACTGTTGAAATTTTATATATATAAATAAATATATATATATATTGGTTTTTTACAGAGAGGAAGAGAGAGGGATAGAGAGCTAGAAATGTCGATGAGAGAGAATCATCGATCAGCTGCCTCTTGCACACCCCCTACTGGTATATGCCCTTGACCGGAATCGAACCTGGGACCTTTCAGTCCGCAGGCTGACGCTCTATCCACTGAGCCAAACCGGTTTCGGCAAATACTGTTGAAATTTTGGTGATGATTGCTTTCAATTTATAGATTAATTTGGGGAGAATTGACATTGGTGCAATCTCAATAATTTGCTAGCATATCGTTTTTATCATTTGGCTCTCTATGCTATTTATTTTAATTAGAGAATTTACTGCTTAGTATTGTTAACCAAATATGGGGAACTGAAAAGGCAAAAAGAGGACATTGTGGTATCACAAGAAGTATTAACTACATTAAACAGCTGCTACCCCTGGGACTTTGAGAACAATGTGAAGAGATTAGGATAATTAAAACTGCACAAGAACTGCTGGTGGGAATGCAGACTGGTGCAACCACTGTGGAGAACAGTGTGGAGTTTCCTCAAAAAACTGAAAATGGAACTCCCATTTGACCCAGTAATCCCACTTCTAGGAATATACCCCAAGAAACTAGAAACACCAATCAGAAAGGATATTTGCACCCCTGTGTTCATAGCAGCACAATCTACAATAGCCAGAATTTGGAAACAGCCTAGGTGCCCATCAGCAGATGATTGGATCCAAAAACTTTGGTACATCTACACAATGAAATACTATGCTGCCATAAAAAGAAGGAATTCTCATCATTTGCAGCAACCTGGACGGAATTGGAGAACATTATGCTGAGTGAAATAAGCCAATCAATGAAAGAGAAATACCTCATGACCTCACTCATTGGTGGACGATAAAGCTCTTTATAAACTGATGAACCAAGAGACAGAGATAGAGAAAGTAAAGCAACAGGCAGACTGTCAAATTACAGTGGGGAGGGGAGGAAGATCTGGGGGAGATAATAGATCAACCGAAGGACTTATATACATGCATATAAGTACAACCAATGGACATAAAACTCTGGGGAGGGAGGGGATGTGTGGGAGGGAGGGAAGGGGGTAAAAAAAAAAATCAATAAAATATGTAAAAAAACAAAACAAAAAAACTGCACAAGATAGCTGCCACCAACTGGTCAAAGATGGCTGGATCCCAGATTGGAGAGGGTGCAGACTGGGCTGAAGGACACCCCCTCCCGTGCACGAATTTTGTGCTTCGGGCCTCTAGTTTGGTAATAAAAAAGCAAGTCAAAGGAATATTGGAAAAAGATGTTATTAGAGAAATGGGGATCTGATTATGTTGGATCTTATTAGTCATTGTACTTTCAATGTAGCCAGAAGTCATTGTAAGGATTTGCCATGGAATAGTAGCCTAAACTGACTTAGGATTTAAAGGCTCACTGTGTAAGCTGAAGGGTAAGGATGAAATCAGGGAAATTGGCTAGAAGATTACTAAGGTGATAGAGGCCTTCCTCCCTCTTTCTCCTCTTCTATATATTTATGAATGTGTATTGCAATGTGCTATATATTGGGAATATATGATATGGAGTGACATACAGCACTTTGCTTTTGAGGATAGATGTGATGATAGTTATGTTATTAAAAATAACATTGTATTGAGAAAATTCTATATTGGAGAAACACTTGTGTAATCAAATACTGTATGTATTCTGTCTATTAATATTTGGAGGACTTGAAGGTAATATTTCCTTTAAAATTTTTTTTAAAATCATAAATGTAATCTTTATATTGGTCAATTGTGTATATACTGTGAATTCATTAGTCATACTTTCTACAATGTCTACTTTTCTTTCCTTTTCTCAGCAGTATCTATATTCATAGCAAATATATAGACTCTATATAGTAAGGTTATTAATATTTGCTATATTTGTACAAAATTTCATTTATAATTTCTTTTTCATTAGTAATTTGCATCTTGGGGAAATTCAAGTCTTTCTGTCATTTATTATCATTACTTTTGATTTTATAAGTTCCTTTTTCAAGGATGTCCACATGTAGTCACATTTTCTTCTACTTTTTTGTTGTGATATTTTTGTATATTTGTGAAATAGTTATCCACATTGATTTCTTACCTAGGAACCATTTCCTCAGCATTATTAATTGAATAATCCATCATCCTCCCATTATTTGTGTGTGTGTGTGTGTGTGTGTGTGTGTGTGTGCGCGCGCCTCTTTTAACATTTATTAAGGTATTATATATTAGGAAAAGTATTTAAAAGTCATGAGGAGAGATAGGAGTGAAAATAGGCATTATTCCATAGTGATTAGAACAAGGAATAGGACCAGAAGAGAGTGCTAATTCCAGAAGTAGCTAATTACAGGAAGCAGAAGCTTTCAAGAAGAGAATAGTCAACAGCATAAAATAATTTGATAGTTTCACAATAATATGTAAGGAACATGAAAATGGCCCATTGTTCTAGGCAATTAGGAAGTAGCATGGGCAGTAGTGGAGGAGTTATTAATACAATAACATTACCAAATGGGAGGGGAGAGATGAAGATGTAGAAAGTGGAAAACATTCTCCACAGGATGTTTGCAAGAAACTTAAAGTATTGAAAACTAAAGTTTTACGTATATGTGAATATTTTCAATTTATTTTCACAGAATTCAGAGGTGTCTGTGTTTGAAGTCAACATTCGATTTATTGGAGGCCTACTTGCAGCATATTATCTTTCCGGAGAGGAGGTGAGCAAAATCAAGTAACTCATTGTTTTTGGGGAAGGGGCTGTGAATGGAACTTAATAAATGAAAGATTTCCTTAATTGTCAAATATTAAACTAATATTAAGGTTTGCTGAAAGAACTGGAGGGTATAAGTAGGGCTGTTCCTTGGGAATAGTGAGTTTTTCATTTTGAGAACATATATTCATCACACATCTTAACTTTACATACACCACGTCTTCTTTGCAGGAACAATCCTCTGGTTGTTGCTGCTACAATTAATTACATGGTCAGAACAAAATAAAGATTGAATATGGATCGTCCCAAGACCAAAAGTTAATTATTAAAACTTTTTGAAATTGACTACAGTTTTTTGCTCTAAACTTAAAATACAACAACTCTGAGTTCTCCTTCTGGAAGTCTTGGTGTAATACACACCAGACACATTGGATGGAGTTCTGTGGTGATGAAGAAGTGGATGTGGGAAATTCCACCACTCAGATGGGATAAAGAATGGGATTAAGTAGTGGGAGAAAGAAAAACTAAGGGAAGGAAGCTATAAGTAATTTCTATTTCGTTTTCTGAGAAACTAAATTACTCTCCCATATATTCAATTAGTTTGTGAGCTTTTTGTAAATTTAAGAAAATTCGTCTTTTGTTATAGGTGTTGAAAAGTGGATTTCTTATATGTGTTGTCTTTAGTTTTTTGTGGTAAACTCTAAAGTCATCATTTTTAGGATTTCTTGAACCTTTATGGCTTCAAGATGTTATTAGAAAGCCTTTCCCATGTTTGTGTTATTACAAAACAAAAATTCCCATTTTCCATTTGGATTTTTATGATTTCATATACTTGTATTTAAGTATTTCATCTGTGTTGCATGCTTGTGTAAAGAGTGAGCTATTCCTGTACTTCAATTCTTTTAGAAGCAATATGTTTGAAGGTGCCAGTGTTTAATAGAAATGTTAGATTAATAACATTGATTTAATTTGTAATTTTGCTGTCAGACTTTATTATGTAACTCCGTTATACAACCAACTTATCTTTCTATAGTTCACATTTATTCTTTTTTTAAAATCCTTACCGGAGGAGATTTTTAGAGAGAGGGAGGGAGAGAAAGAGACACATCCACTTATTTCCCTATTGGCGGAGTCTTGCTGTATGAAAACACTTCCCTGACCTCGCCAGGCTGCTACCTTGTTGAATGCATCTTCTTCACATGGATTGATCTGGGACTTGACTCCCTTTGCTAGGTCTTTCCTCATGTTGGTTCCACCCCTTCCTGGACATTGCTGCCCACTTCAGTCATACCTCTAGGCTCAGACTCTTGACTTCAGAAGCTTCTGGAGTGACATATTAAACAATGAAGGGAGGAAGAAAATGAACTATTTTGGTACCTTCAATTTTAGATTCTTTTTTCAGTTTCCTTGAGAAAGGAGCACATTTTTCTTTTTACCTTTATGCTTATCTGATTATGTAGAAGTACTAAATAATTTGTGTAATTGGCATACTTGATTAATTTTCCTACCAAAAAGCAATATGATTCAAAATTAATTATGAACAGCACAGGAAAGGGAATTATCATCAGTCTTGCCTGTTCACACTGGTCTCCCCACCTGAAAGTCGAAGCAGAATGTTGAAATTTGGTTGCTATTATCATAGGAAAACATTAACATGATGAAAGGCATATGATGTTACCATTATTTCTATTTTGGCCATTTTGTGGAGGAAAGTACATATGCTTTGGAGTTAAAGGTTGAATTCCTACTCTGCCTCCCTTTCATGTGATATTTGGCAAGGCATTTACCTTCTATAATTGAAGTTTCTTCATCTCTGACAATGTGAGAGTTCATTTGAGAGTTGTGAGGTTAAGTGACGTGACAGTGCCTAGCATAGTACCTGACTCAATAGATATTACTTTGCCTTTCTTCTCTTTTGCCTTTTTCCTGTGTGGTAAGTAGTCTGTGTTTCTAATGAGTAGGGAATCCTTTTATTTATTTTAAAATGGATATATATTAATTTTTTTAGGATATAGTATACTCATAAAGAGAACATGTTTTACTTTTGTGACTTTCTCTTACAATAGAAAATTACTGACCATTTTTCTTTTCTCCTTGATCATTTTACATGGAAAGCTCTAATCCAAATGTTTTAGGAAACCAACAATAAATTCCTGAGGTCTGCTAAAAAGAAATAAAACATAGAAAAATAATTTGGATATGACAATATTCTAATACCAGATAGACAATAAATCCCTATGTCTCATATAAGCCAAAAAATTACCTGTAACTTATAAAATGGCAAAATGCTTCTCTTATAGAACATTTTACATGCATTCTGTGTTCTGGTATAAGGAAACAAATGAGGGTCATATGTCATCCTGATAAAGCATTCCTCTCCTGTTGATTTATTAATCTCATAAATGTGAAACTTCATCATTTTATTTTCTTAGAACAAGGCTATTTATATTACATATTCACAAGTTTAAAAATCTTGATGATTTATTATGTTTACTTCTATCCTCAAATATATGGCGTACCTTTTACAGGATTGTCTCTTCTCATTTTTTAATGGTTATCAAAGTGGCATCCCTTCCTGAATAAGGTAATAACATAATTTATGTAGATAACTGCATCTGAAATCTGTCAGACTGAGTAGAGAATTGGTTATATGGAGTTTAATACATATTCCACAGATAATAAAAACAAAATAAAAGAAACACCACCACCAAAATCTTTCTTTACCAAAACACAAATAGTACTGTATTGTCTGTGGAGTAAGGTCATTTCTAAACAAGTTTAGGGATGTTTTCTAAGACAAATAGAATGTCATTTTTAAAAATCTAAAGTCCTTTAAGGAAAGTTCTGAGTTAAAGAAAAAAAAAAAAAAAGATGTAGAGTATTATTTTTTTTTTGTCTGGTTTAAATATTAGTCATATTGTCTGACTGCACTAATTCTCATTTTACTTTTTGAAAACTTGATTTTGCTCCAAAAATTGCTGCTATTTTCATTAAAAATTCGACACTTTTCATTTTCTACCGATGTACTGGTATTTGAGCAAACATTCCACTATGCTTTGCTGACCTAGATGATAACGTTTTCCTCTTAAAAGTAAAAGTTCATCTACACTTTTGTACTCATTCTACATCTTTAAAGTCCCAGAAGTAATACCAATTCATAGTTAATGGCTATGGTTATGATTACTGGCTTGATAGATCAGAAGGGTTTGGAGTCACCTACCATAGGAGCTAGAAATTTAGGGATGAAATCCAGGAAGGAGTGAGCAAGAGAGGCCCCAGTTCTGTATACATGACACTATGTATTTAGACCACATTGCTTTATTTCCCTGTATTTTTGTAGAGCTACGCCATAATTTTCTGCCTAAAGTAAACACTTATCCTTCCACTTCTGCCTGGTGAAGAACTTCAAGGCCCAGATTACTTATTTTAAGCATCTCTGCTGACGTCAATTTACATACAATTAAATGCACCCACTTTAAATGTAAAGAAGCTGTTGGAGGGAATGCACATGATAGATATTTGAAAAATAATTTTGCTATGTCAAGTAAACATTTAAAATTTAAAATTATCTCCCTAGCCAGTTTGGCTCAGTGGATGGAGCATTGGCCTGTCATTCTGAAGGGTCCTTGGTTCGATTCCGGGACAAGGGCACGTATCTTGGTTGCAGGCTCCTCCGCGGCCTGAGTCTTGGTCGGGACTTGTGTAAGAGATGTGTTTCTCTCACATCAGTATTTGTTTTTCCTTCTCTTTTCCACTTTCTCTACATATCAATGGAAAAATATTCTTAGGTGAGGATTAAAACAAAACATTTTAAATTCTCTTTGAGCCAGTTATTTATTTAGAATTATATTCCCTAAAAGTAACAATGTGGATACGTAAAGTATACTCAGAAGGGTATTTCATTGCAGTAGTGTGTTTGTAGTGGCCCATGGGGGGGGGGGGGGCGGGGAGGATGATTGAAAAAATTAATACATGTCTTACTATAGAATACTGTACAAGTATAAACATACGCTTGATATATTTTAATTAGGGAAATTATGTTTGCTGCGTGTGTGTGTGTGTGTGTGTGTGTGTGTGTTTCCATACATCCAGTCAGTTAGAATGCTGTAAATAACCCATCAACTTGAGGCATATAGGAGAACATGCCACTTTTCCTAATGAGGTATGATGACCCAATCTCAGTTTGGAGCCTGTAAGTCACTAGTTCCAAAGTAGTGTACACAAACCTATCTGTTTTTGTTTTTTTTTCTCAAAATATATTTTATTGATTTTTTTACAGAGAGGAAGGAGAGAGGGATAGAAAGCTAAAAACATCGATGAGAAAGACATCGATCAGTTGCCTCCTGCACACCCCTCACCGGGAATGTGCCCGCAACCAAGGTACATACCTTTGACCAGAATCGAACCTGGGACTTTTCAGTCTGCAGGCCGACGCTCTATCCACTGAGCCAAACCGGTTTCGGCCAAACCTATCTGTTTTGATATGCTAGGGATATTTGAAATCTTACAATGTATATCTTGGTAATAGTACCTAATTTTATAAGTTTAGAAACACTGATATTTAGGTAATTGATTGTTTCAGGTACCAAAAATAGGAGCAATTGGGACCAAGGGATGAAGCATTTATTTTTTAATCCCCCCCCCCCATTTTTTATTAGGGTTTTATATGTGTACATATCTTACCATTGCTCCCCTTCCCACTCCCATTTATGCCCTCACCCCCCAGAGTTTTGCGTCCATTGGTTATGCTTATATGCATACATACAAGTCTTTCAGTTGATCTCTTATCTCCCCTACCTCTCCCTAACCTTGGGATGAAGCATTTATAAATCTCAAATTAAACTTGGAATGTGAACTCAAATGTTTTCTTTTCCTTTAATAAATTGGTTAAACTTTGATGGAAAATGTTGAGACTTACATGTACTTACAATACTTCAAGGGTATTTATCCAAATAGGTTTGTGCCTTTTTCTTTTGTGTAGATATTTATACTAAGCTTGTATACCATGGATAAACATTTCATAGCCTAAGGTTTTCTCTTAGATCTTTGCCAGCTAAAAATAAAGATACTATCAACACCAAAACCATATCTTTACTTTTTTTTAAAAAAATATATTTTATTGATTTTTTACAGAGAGGAAGGGAGAGAGATGGAAAGCTAGAACATCAATGAGAGAGAAACATCGACCAGCTGCCTCTTGCACACCCCCCACTGGGGATGTGCCCGCAACCTAGGTACATGCCCTTGACCAGAATCGAACCTGGGACCTTTCAGTCCGCAGACCGACGCTCTACCTCTGAGCCAAACCGGTTTCGGCATATCCTTACCTTTCAATTAATTGTAATTTCAGCCCATTGCACATTGGGTAGCTTTCTTCAGTGTCCAATTTACATTTCCCCTGATTGCTGTATATGCTACATGTTACCACAGAGATGCCACTTTTCACCCTGTACTTGCATATATCCAGTACATTTCGGTATGCATTGTATGAGAGACCAGCATATGGTGATGGCTACAATTTATAAATTGATTACTATAATTTATGAATATTCATGTTTTTAATCTCAGATATTCAAGATTAAAGCAGTCCAATTGGCTGAGAAACTCCTTCCTGCCTTTAACACACCTACTGGGATTCCCTGGGCAATGGTGAATCTGAAAAGGTAAATTATATTTGTATGTGGGTATTCTTGTTATAGAATTCTGTTTTAATTGATCTGTTAGAGTTTTTATTTAATTATGCATTTGCTGTTTCTCTGATGGGAAATATCTTCTATCAGATCTAGTCATCCTTACTCCTTCTTACATCATTCAGTTCTCAGGCAAATTGTGTCTTTGCAGAAGCACTTTCTCTGAACATTATATATAAAGAGCCTGCCTGCTAACTCACCTTCACTAATTCCCACTATTCTGTTTTTCTGTTTAATTTTCTTCATGACGACTACCACTATTTAAATTGGTCTTATTACCTAACTAGTTTGGCTCAGTAGAGCATCGGCTTTTGGACCAAAGGATCCCGGGTTCGATTCCAATCAAGGACACATACCTTGTTTGCATGCTTCTCCCTGGCTTGGGCCCTGGTGGGGCACGTGCAGGAGACAGCCAATTGATGTGTTTCTCTCACATCAATGTTTCTCTGTCTTTCCCTCTCCCTTCCATTCTCCCTAAAAATCAATGGGAAAATATCCTTAGGTAAGAATTAATAACAACCTCAACAATCCCCCCCCCCAAAAAAAAAGTAGATAGATAAAATGGTCTTATTTGTTATGGAAGCAGGAATGTTATATGTCAGGTTCACTATCATATCTCCTGGAGGATAGTAGGCACTTACTATTTGGGAATGAATGACTGTCCTACGTGGTTACTAATATGTATCCTTATTTCTTCCTTGATTCTCACTTCTAGCACACACAAAAATCTGTTACTGGTACCATATTATTTTCAAAGGTAGTGTAAAAACAGCACCAAAACGTTAAAGAACGCTAAGTGAGATAGTGATCATGTATTGGTAACTTTCTTTTTTGAGAGAGAGGGCAAGAGATAGATAGAACATCGATGAGAGAGAAATATCATTGATTGGCTGCCTTCTGCATGCTCTCTACTGGGGATCAGGCCCACAACCTGGGCATGTGCCCTGACCAGGAATCAAACCAGTGACTTTTGGGCTTGATAACTATTTTAATGTTTTCTCAACACAGATGAATAAAATATGACATGTTGAATTGGCACTATACAAGTGGGTATAAAATGAGAGAAAGACTTATACTTTGTCCCCAAAGTAGAAAAGACCCAGGAGAATGGTTTAGAGATCTAGTAAGAATAACTCTGCTACTTGAATAATTAATCTAGTCTTCCAGTTCCAACATGGAATAGCTTATATCAGACTAACCCTACCACCAAAAACAATCAGAAACACTTAACCAAATGTTTGGAGGCATTCTTGAGCAACAAACTCAGGTGGGATTTCCTAAGAGGCCATCTCCATATAAACATTGGCTCCCCCCTCCCCAGGGCATTTTCCAAAGCACAGTACAGAGCAAGAGAGGCCAAGTCTAACATGGGGCAGAGGAGGCCTGCTGAACAGGTTCTGGAGCTGCCAAAATGACTGAGACATGAGGCATAAAGTCTCAAGACAGGAAGGAATTGTAGAGGAAAAGCCCAAAAAGTTATGTATAGAGTTTCCTCAAATTGGCTGATTCTGTGATTGCACACGCATGAGGCAAGACTCAAGGAAATCCAGCAAGAAAACAGCATCTGTAGGCTAGTGGGCAAAGGAGAAAATTTAAGTGACATGGTACTGGGGAGACAGAGGTTAGTGTTTGAGGGTGCAAGGTGGAGGTCTCTTGATAAACACCCTAGGCTTTCAGCTGTGTCTCAGAGGGCTACTGAGAGTAGAGGTAAAACTGAAATAAGCTACCCTCAGCAAAGCCAAAAACCTAGGTAATCTGCCTCTACTCAACCTGTGTTTCAAAAGAAACAACCTTCTCAGAAGACAATGACTGATGCCTCGACATTTTTTCATTTATATTGTCTGGCTTCCAACAAAAATGATAAGGCAGGCTAAAAAAAAAAGTTATATATATATATATATATATATATATATATATATATGATATCCTAGCAATAAATCTGCACAAAAGAAATGTACATAAGACTATTCACTGTAAAGTTTTCATAATAGCAAAATATTAGAAATATGCTGAAAGACTACCAATAGTGCATTGATTAAATTGTATCTGTTCACATAGTATAGTAGCTTTCACACTGGCACTGTTAACATTTGGGGCTGGACAGTTCTTTATTGTGTGATACTCAGTGTAGTATAGATGTTACATCTTTGGCGCCAGCACAATAAATGCATGTTGCACTTCAAGGTTTGAGACAACAATGCCGAAACCGGTTTGGCTCAGCGGTAGAGCGTCGGTCTGCAGACTAAAAGGTCCCAGGTTCGATTCCAGTCAAGGGCATGTACATTGGTTGCGGGCACATCCCCGGTGGGGGGTGTGCAGGAGGCAGCTGGTCGATGTTTCTCTCTCATCGATATTTCTAGCTCTCTAGCTCTCTCCCTTTCTCTCTGTAAAAAATCAATAAAATACTTTAAAAAAAAATGGCTTGAGACAACTCAGAATGAATGCTCTCACACATAGGCCTCTGGGGTGGGGCATTCCAATTTCAAGTCATTTCTATTATGGAATTTTGTGTAGCTTTAAAATTAAGTTGTTAATGAACTTCTTTACATATTTGTTCATTAACAACTTTCTTTTTAATGAGGTACATCTTAAAAGTTAAAATACAAGGTACAGAGCAGTAAGTATACTTTGCTATGTTTTGTTTAAAAAATGAAGAAAATATATATTTGGATTGCTTGTACAGTATGTGCATTTAAAATTCTGTACCAACATATAAGTTAATGAAAGTTATATCTATGGGACTTGGGGGTGTGAAGAGAGATGAGATTTCTGGGGTGAAATATATTTACTATATACTTTTTTATGTTGTTTTAATTTTTAAAAATGTGGACGTAGTACCTATTAAAATTTTCTAAATATATATTTTTATTGATTTTAGAGAGGAAGGGAGAAGGAGAGAGAGAAACATCATTGGTGAAAGAGATTGGTTGCCTGTCTCCTGCTTGTCCCCTACTGGGGATTGAGCCCACAACCTGGGCATGTGCCCTTGACTGGAATTGATCCTGGAACCCTTCAGTCTGCACACCAGTGCTCTATCCACTGAGGCAAACCAGCTAGGGCCAAAAAATATTTTAATAAAAAAATAAAATTTTAGATATAAATAAACTATTATGTTAGATATAATAATTTTAAAATTTTTATTTTTCAATTATAGTTTACATTCAGTATTATAAATATAATCATTTCTGAGATATCTATTTAAAGTTTGTGTATTCTTTAAAAATATTTTGGTCTTTTTATAATTCTCCTTTTCTCTTTGCTTTCATTTAGTGGAGTCGGGCGGAACTGGGGCTGGGCATCTGCGGGAAGCAGCATTCTTGCTGAATTTGGGACCCTGCATATGGAGTTTGTCCACCTCAGCTACTTGACAGGGGACCCGGTTTACTACAAAAAGGTTTGCTCTTTTTCTTTCGTTATAAAAGAGTTGCTTTGGCAGCACATATGCTAACATTGGAACAATACAGAGAAGATTAGCATGGCCCCTGCACAAGGATGGCATGCAAATTCATGAAGAGTTCCATAGTTTAAAAAAGATGTCCAACAATTACAAAAAGACTTGACTGATGCTTAGAGAATGATTGCCTTTTTAGAAATATATTTATTAGAGTTCTGGCCTTCTTTTTCTTTTTAAATTACCTAAAGAGATGTTTTGTTTAGAACATATTTAAAATATTTACTGCTATTTGAGAAGTTTTAATGATTGGTGGGCTTTTTAAAAATCTCATTGTCATCACTATTCAGCATTGTGCTGAAATTCCTAGACAGCATAGTAAGTCAAGAAAAACAAAATGAACAAAAAGTTCAAGAATGGAATTGACTTGAAAAGGAAGGAAAAAAACAGTAATTAATCACAAATTATATGATTATCTACCTAAATATTAAGACAGTCTACATTTAAATTATTAGAAATAGCATAATTTATTTTTGAATATAGATATTAAAAATCAGTAGAATTTCTCATCATCAGCTACAAGCGGCAAGAAAGTGTCATTTTACAAAAACATATATTACTAGAGGCCTGGTGCATGAATTCGTGCACGGGTGAGGTCCCTCAGCCTGGCCAGCGACTGGGGCCTACCAGTAATTTTGAACAGTATCTTTTGGTGGGTTTATCTGCAGAGAACTTACATTTTTGTCATCTCCAACTGCACCATCAGTTCAATGCTATCAAAACTCCAATGGCTTTTTGCTTTGTATTTTTATTGTTGCTTGATTTTATATAATAATCATATGTCATCATAAAAATGAGGCACTTTAAAAATAGTAGCTTTACTTGACCACTACAGACACAAAAAAAGGTAGAGGGGGTGGTGAAGGTTCTGAATGAGGAAAAAACACAAAGCTTTTTTATAAAGCCATTTATTTTTGTTAATTGCAATCTCTAGGTCATGCACATTCGGAAGCTACTTCAGAAAATGGATCGTCCAAATGGTCTTTATCCAAATTATTTGAATCCAAGAACAGGTCGCTGGGGTCAATGTAAGTATTTCTAGTACAGCTGATCCTTTGTTAAAAGGTTATTTGTGTGGAAACTTTTGCTTGGTGTAGTGATAAGTATACTACATGTAGAACAAGAAACCTTCAGTTAGTGTCTAGGCCTGTGATTGGTTACCTTGGTCAGGTTTCTAATCTCTTGTAGTTTCAGTTTTTCTTCTTGTAAAATGGTTAAAATAGCAACTTTCTTGTTATATTTATTTCATCACAATAATTACAATAAAAATTTTTTCATCCCCCCCCCCCCAAATAAACTGAAATTGCTTCTTCAGAATACATTGACTCTCAGCAGTATTAATTTTGAGGATGTTATAAAAAGCTATTCAATTGTTATTGGCAAGGGGTCTTTAAAATCCTAGGGGAGTTGCTCTTATATCCTTTAGCAGCTGCAGCCCTTACTAAATTGTCCAATTTGTTCCTTTTAATGTTTCATATATTTTATATCAGCTTCTGAAAAGTACATCAAATTCCATTATTATCTTTGAGCAGTATACATCTGTCATATCTATAAATAGTCTGCAAAACAGAGAATTGAACTGAAATTTAACAATTCAGCTTTGGCTAACTATATTGTAATTAGAATAATGATAATGTTTGTGACATGCACATAGCAATCACAGAGAATAATTACTGGTAATTACCCTCAGGAAAAGGTTTTGGCAACAGATATAAAAGAGCATAGTAAGAAACCTAGATTTAAAGGCACATCATTAGTATTTTTTCTTCTTTTACTTTATTTATTTTTTGCTACTTTTCTAAATACAATGCTTAGCCTATGCCATTTAATGATTGAAGTGAAGAAAATATAGGAAATTGGTCATACTAACATTAAATTTTATACTAATAAAAACTGGGGGGAAATAAGAATGGGTAAAATATTTGAAGTTAGAAGATTAATTATGGATTTCCCACTTAATAATTTAAATGCTATTTAACTTTTCTGTGCCTTTGTTTTTTCATCTGTTCTATAATAATTGTACTTACTTAATAGGATGGCCATTTGGATCATATTTTTAAGATAATATATCTGAAAATGCTTCACTTTAAGCACATGATATAAATTTAGTTTTAAATCTAGAATTTTCTATAAAACATCTCAGTAAATAGTTTCTGTTAGAAATCAGCCATTAACTTCATGACATGCTGATACAGATTATGTGAATCATTGGTATTTAGTTGTGTTTTATAATATGTTATTAATTTCTGAATATCGAGGAGCTTGGAGAGTTATGTTTCATTGAATTCAACTCCTCCCAGGCATGGTTCAGTGGTTTAAGAGGGAAGTCAGATTACTGGGTGATAAATTCCATAGTTATCGTGGGTCTCAGGCTTCTGCTGTTTGTTCATTTATTAAGCAAACTAGAGGCCTGATGCATGAAATTCATGCATGGGTAGGGTCTCTAGGCCTGGCACTGCCCACACGCCATCACCTCTTTCCTCTGCTGCTGCTGCCAGTCACCTCCTTCTGAGGGGTGACAGGCAGGGCGATTGGGGGAGGCCCCCCTCTGACCTGCCGTGGCTAGCCTGGGGCCTGTAGGTTGGGGGCAGCTCCTGCATTGAGTGTCTGGCCCTTGGTGGTGATCAGTGTGCATCATAGCAACTGGTCATTCTACCAGTTGTTCCACTGTTTGGTCAATTTGCATATTAGGCTTTTATTATATAGGATGATCTTCCACTGCAGCGATACTTAAAAGAGTTGGAAAGATCCTATGAGCAGGACTGTGAATGCATCTTATAACCTGAGTAACATATAGCTAAACTGTAAACTCTGGCCATAATTCACAGATCCAAAAAGCATTTTTTCTAAGCAAACATCATGTTTGCTTTTCCCTGTTTTCTCCCACTATTTCACTTCCTTTAATTTTGTTTTATTTTTTATCTTGTTTACTTTCCTGCTCATTTGTTCTTCCATAGATCTACAATATATTCAGAGCACAAAGTTTTACAAAACCCTGTTTGGTATTCTGATGACTCTTCTCTAAGTATTATACTCCAGAGTACCATTTATATTCTTTAATCACTCCATTCTCTCTGTATAAACTCCCATAGCTCAAATTCATTTTAGATATTGATGACTCCCTAATGTATACCCCTAACTTAGTGCTCTCTCTGGATTTCTGCATATCTGATTGCCTATTTATTGTATTCATTTAGATATCCAACTGGCATCTCAAACTCAACATGCCAAAATTTAAAATTCCTTTGAGGTCTGGCCTTCATTTCTTCGTTCTTTCAGTTAATTAGGTCTTCATTTCTCTCCCACAGTTAATATCACCCCTGATCAACACATCCTCCATAATGGCCTCTTATTGATGGCTGCTGACTGATCAGAGTGGTGGTTGCTGAAAGTTGGGGTGCCTGTGGCAATTTCTTAAAATAAGATAACAATGAAGTTTGCTGCATCAATTGAATCTCCTTCCATGAATGATTTCTCTGTACCATATGATGCTGTGTAAGAGAGTTTTATCCACAGTAGAGCTTCTTTCAAAATCAGAGTCAATTAAAAGATCATCTTGATAAGGTTAATTAATAAAACTATTACAATTTATAAAAGATTTTTTTGTACCCCCTAAAATCATCTTGAGTAACACAGTGGTTATAAGCTTAAAAGTCCAACACCGGCAAGAAGTACTAGAGTAAACTAAGATTCCCTAGGCTCCCACATGCTTTGGTTTTTATTCATGATTGAGCAGTGGGAACAAATTAGGAGACAAAGGAATGAGAAATTCAATATATATAACATTAACTAATTGCAGAGATATCCAAAAGGAAGTAAACTTATGAAAGGTTTATTAGGACTTATGCTTCATGGTAGAAAATTGAGCTTTAACTCTACCAATGTGGCCAACTATCCTTCCTGAGACTGCAATGAAATGAAAGTACAGAAATATAGAAAGAAATCTATAATAATAAAAGTGTAACATGCTAATTAGATCAGATAGCTGAATGACCTTCGGATGTCCTGGACGAAGCTGCGATGGTGGGGGCCAAGGTAGAGGTGGTTAGGGGCAATCAGGCAGGCAGGTGAGTAGTTAGGACCAAGCAGTCCTGGATTGCGAGAGGAGGGTATAGGCCAGGCTGAGGGACCTTCCCCTCCCCCGCACACGAATTTTGTGCACCAGGCCTCTAGTAATCACATAAGAGTAAAGAGATTTGGAGGCAAGTTGAGAGATCATAACCAACAAGATATTTCAGCAAGCTCGTAGAAAACATTCTGGCTGGGAGTTGATGAGTATATCTAAGAACAGTATAACCTAGAATATACTCCAAGGGATTACAGAAAAGGCAAATGTTATAACTCCAGAGATTAATAAACAATAGGTACAAGTATTTGAATGTGAAAAGTAGAACTAAAAGCAGGTATTTGTTAAAGTCATTATAGGGAACATGGACTTGTTTAAGGTACAATAAATTATTAGAGTACGGGCAGACATATTGCCTGAAGTGAATTTATTTCTTTCCCCATTTATTACTTTCTATAACAAAGGATGACTTAACTGTATAAGACACATATATTTTGATAAAATATAAGCATATGAAGTAAAAATTGAAGGGCTCCTCTTTTTAGATGTAATCATTGTTGACAGTTATCTTTTCTATGTGTACAATAACATTCTTTAAACACGCGATTCTTTAGTAGTATCAAATTATGTTGTTCTGAAACTTGCTTTTTTGCCCCTTAGTCAACAACATATAATAAATATCCTCCATATTAGGTTACAGATTCCTCTGATTCTCTTTAATGATTTCACGGTCTGCTAGAGCAGTGGTCGGCAAACCTCGGTTCGCAAGCCACAAGCATTTCTTTGGCCCCTTGACGGTGGCTCTTCCACAAAATACCACTTGTGGGCATGCACGTACAGTGTGATTGAAACTTCGTGGTCTATGTGCAAAAGTTGGTTTTTGGCTCTCAAAAGAAATTTCAAGTGTTGTACTGTTGATATTTGGCTCTGTTGACTAATGAGTTTGCCGACCACTGTGCTAGAGTATGTATGTATGTTTATACATAATTTATTAGACACATTTTTAGACATATGAGGTATCTTACTATTTTACTAATGGAAATAGTTCTGTGATGCATTTAGATCGGTGTTGTGTGTTTATGCAAGTGTTAGTGTAAGGTAATTCCAGAACTAGGAAACCTAGGTTACATTTTGATAGCTATTATAAAATTGCCTTTCAAGTTCCAGTAACTATGAGCCATATCTTATCAACATTGTTATTAATCTTTTAAAATGTTTGCCCATTAAATAGACAAAAATGAAATCTCATTGTTTTAATTTTTTTTTTCTTTAATCATTAGTGGACTTGAGTTTCCTTTCTTAGGTTAATTATCAATTTGCATTTTGTTGTTGTTAATTATATGTGCCCTATGTTGGTTTTTCTTCTGTTATACTTAAGTTTTGTTTACTTTTAAATCAATCTACCACAAATTTATTTTTGTGAACTAAAGATATAAACATTAATATGCATTTTCTTCCAAACGGATAGACAGTTGTTTCCGTGAACCCGAATAGTTCATTCTTTCTTCACTAATTTGAAAGACCAATAATATATGAATGTAATATGTGATATTTTTCTTTTTAAGCTGGGAAGACGTGAGTTTTGAAACAAAGTTTGAGGGTGTGGGGCAGGTTTTAATAGAAAGTTCGGAATAAAAGAGTATGGTTGCCTTGGGAATTATATTGTTAAATCGGGTAACATTAAAAGTATGGATGATATGTCATCTATAAAAATAAGAATATACCCAGGACAAACAAATATGTACTAATAGCTATATAAATAGTAATCAAGGATATTGATTCAACAATTTAATGTGTGCAAGGTGATATTACAAAGGAATTCTTGGGCTTTTTTTTTTTCCTTGTAGATTTCTTTTAATTTACTGCTTACTGCATAGAATTCACCATTCACCATTTTATAGAAAAATGAGCTCTTTTCGGTTAACATCAGATTTTAGTATGTCTCTTACATTTAATCTTATAGCTTATATAGTTAAAACCATTAATATATGAAAGATAATTATTTTCAATAATGGAAATGTTTGTATGTGTATAGTGTCACACTATGCAAATTGTGTGACTGAAAAAAAGACTACTAAGTATGTGAAATACATCCAGTCGAAGATTTATCTAGAAAATTTGGTATACGTAGAGGAGAGAGATTGCAGTATGCTCTTACTGGACTAAATTTGAAGTATGTTGGAAAGAGATCTGTCACATAATTATTAAATAGTCATTTTAATTGAAAAACATTACATAATTGTCTTCTGTCTTCTCTTTTCTTCATCTCCATCCTTCTCTTTTCTTTGTTACAGATCACACATCAGTTGGCGGGCTGGGAGACAGTTTTTATGAATACTTACTAAAAGCATGGTTAATGTCAGATAAAACAGACATTGAGGCGAGAAATATGTATGATGATGCTATTGAGGTAATTATGCTCAGAACACTTACCTATTTAACCTAAGGAATATACACTGTATTTGATAGTGACAGATGAACATCTTATATGCATGTTATTATATGCATTCATTGTAGAGTTAAGTTTTTAAATATAAAAGTCTTAATATTAATTGTTCCTTCATTGTGGCATTTTAAAGAAATTATAGAAGATTTTACTGTAGCATATTTATGTATGAAAATGTGTTTTAATTATTTTTAGTTATTGCCTATAGAGACTAGAAAAACTTCTGATTTTACATGCATTTCCATGAACATTTCTTCTTTCAAATGGCCCATTGAAGGTGTATATTGAGAGCCTCTGGGTGAATAATAAGGGCAAAACAGATTATAGTACTTCCTATATGCCAGGCACTGTTCTAACCATTTTACATATGTGAAGTAATTAATTTTTACTACACTTTACATATGAGGACTTCAAGGCACTGAGAGTTGAAGATTGTACCAGTAAGTGATGGAGCCTGGAACTAAACAGCCTGGCTCCAGAGCCTGTGCTCTTAACCACGGTTCTGTATTTATATAACCTCATACCACAGTGTTGTGGCAGTTTACATTTGGAACAAGTTTCATTCTTGGCAGCACTTACATATGATATTTCCAAGCAAAAACTGTAAAATAGAATAGTGTGTTAACCACTTAGTATGTTATTTGGTTTCTGATCTAGTGTAAACATATCCCTTTAATGATTTTAATCACTTCTTAAAAGTTGTATATTTTGTATTTACTGCAAAGTATATACAATTTTGACTCTAGTCGTTGATCAGTACTTAAAGTTATAGTTGTTTGTTTTTAAATTAAACAAAGGTTATTATTTCCTATTTTATATCTTTACCTTTTAGGGAATCAATATTCATATTTGTTTACAAAATACACAGGAGTTGAACTAGTATGTGGCATGTATTGCTTTGCTCATATACAACTTGATTACTCCAAAACTCATTGTAAATTAAGCCTTCCAATTTGGAAAAGTTACTGCTTTATGGAGTCTCATATTAACAAGGTTTTATAGTCAGAAGGGTGCAGTAAGTTTGAACACTAATATTTTGCTTCTGAAATTTTGAATATCTACTCTTTCTTGTAGGCCATAGAAAAACATCTTATTAAGAAATCCCGTGGAGGCCTTACCTTTATTGGCGAATGGAAGAATGGGCACCTGGAAAAGAAGATGGGACATTTGGCCTGCTTTGCTGGGGGAATGTTTGCACTTGGAGCAGATGGTTCCAGGAACAAAGCTGGTCATTATTTAGAGCTAGGGGCAGAAATTGCACGTACCTGCCACGAATCATATGATAGAACTGGTAAGAATATTAATAACGCTAATTACTTAGGCCAAAATAACTTACAAGTTAAATATATGTCCAGAAATTAGAAGGAAAATATATAGGCTTTTAAAAATTTTTTTTATTTATTTTTATTTATTTCAAAACAGTTATTCTAATACAGTAAATTATTTTCTTAAGAACTTGAATTTTAATTTGGGAATTGTGTTCCTGTATCACTTTCTTTTTCTGAATTCTGCTACTGTTTTTGTTAATAGAGATTTTGAAGAAGTTATTTTAAAGACAAGAGGTAGGACATTTTGGGGATGTATGGGATAACATTATTTTCCTATAATAATCCATTTAGCCATTTTTTTTCAACTTCTATGAAAAGTTACATAAAAGGACACAAAATAGACCAATTTAGGTTACATGCCTTGCCTGTCCTCTTGTGAAAATAAAAAGATAATAGTAATTGTATTGAGTATATAATTGGTGTCTAAGTAACCAGTAGTTTCTTAGTCAGTTCACCAATAATTTTGAGTTGTTTGTTCCTTTAACTAAAAGATCCTCTGGCATTGCTTTAGGCAAATATGTAATATTTCTGGGCTTCATGTCCTTGCCTGAAAAATGTGATGATTCTTAGTGGTGAGAATGAGAAATATATTTTTTATATACAAAGCATAGATATACATATAGTTATAGATAGGTAAATAGTATGTATTATTAACATATCATGAAAAGAGAAGGCAAATTGGTTTTTAAAAAGCCTGAAAATACCATTGAGAAAAACTGGATCAGACTTTCCAAGGTTTTCTGTGGCTTAAAAGTGCATGTTTCTGTATGAAATGATAAGTTCCCTGAAATACTAAAAACTGGCGATTTCTATTTGTGATTTCAGAAGTTGAATTGTTGCTTATATTAAATAACTGAATTTCTATTTTAAGGATAATTTACATCAACTCCCACCCCCACCCCCAGTGCATGAATCTTGTGCACTGGACTATAGTTTCTTAAATAAAAAAACACCTATGAGACGTGAAACTGATAATTTGGCCAAAATATGGATGTGATAGCTTACACACTTTACACTCACCAACTCCTCACAGGACAGTTACGTTATCTTTCTGGAATGTTTTATGTGTGAAATTATGAATGACCAGTAAATGAAATACAGTTTTTAGTGAGTTTAAAATATTAGTTCCATGCAGCCAATTTCTCCTTCAATTCAGACAATATTATCACTGTAATTAAGAAGTTATTTAAAGTTAACCTTAAGGTTAACACTTGAAAACTACAGTTGATTATTTCTTAGCATCATAGTCTTTGAGAAAGGAAAAACATAAGAAATCTAGACAAAATAACTTATCTTACTTTTTTATTGGATTTTCCATCATATCAGTACTTAGGATGTTTGACTTTTATAATTTGAAAAGCATTTATATAAGGTCAAATAAGAGTTGATTGTGTGTCAGACCTTTCAATATCTAGATAGATGTTTTCTTACAAAATATTGATAATTTGTTGGTTATTCCTAACTTCAGATCCCATTGAGGATCTGGTCAGCGCTTTCTGTACCCTCATAAAGTTTTGCCAACAATTGCAGAGGCTTTTGGACACAAATCTGTCTCCTTCTTCCAAAGCCTCCCATAGAGTTCATGAACTCAGGTTAAAAACCCCTGCTGAGTTCTGCATCAGCTTTCCAAGACTTAGCCGTATACAAACTGTTAACTCTTCTGGATCACATGTTTTGCTTTTAATAGAACTATCCACCATCACAACAGTATTTTTAGTTTTGTATTTTTTAGGGAGATGGGCATTGTAAGAAAGGCTTTATTTTCACCTCCTTTGAATTGTAATTATTTGGAGCTTATGGTGTCACCCTTGTAATCCTGAAATTGGGCCACAGCAACACATCATGCCAACATCTATGCCATGGTTTTGTTGATGGTCCGCCAGCATTATAGTTTTTGTGCTGCATTCTAAGGAAATATAAAAATGTGCAGCATTATCATGAAAGAGGTGAGAAACCTTGAAACTATTTGCCACCAGTGTAGCCTTGTGAAAAGAAAGGTGGCCGCTAAGAGTGGTAATGTGTGCTACTTCAACATCCCAGTGAAATAAGACTTATATTGCCCAGGGTTAGGGTTCTAGTGTTATTAAAAAGAAGTTTTAAAAGGCTTTTCAAGTAGTGTTATATTCCAGCCTGGATGGAAATCCTATCATCCAAGAAATATTATGTAATGCTGAAATATATGTGTAAATGGACCGGTTTTATTCAAACTGGATAGAAGTTTTCTTACAAAATAATTGATAATTTGTTGGTTATTTCTCACTTTAGGACTAATTGGGCACATGACTCGGAAAATTCTTGATGATTGCAATTTCAATCTCTTCCTTGTTGCGTGTTTTGATGCTATAGGAGAAGAAAGTTTATTATAAAAACTGATTTAAGTTTTAAAATATATTACTTTCATATACTGTATTTTATAAGTTTTAGTTTTCTAATATGCTTTAAAAATTATATACTCTACAACTAAATCTAATTAAAGGTCTGAGCTTTAAAATGCCACTAAAAAAATAAAAGACATACCATTTTTTTTACTTGTGTGTTACATTAAAAGGACTTTAAAATTGTCTTGACTATTTAAAAAATAATTCTGTGCCATACAATTTTCTGTCTCATTTTATTTTGGGCCAAGGCAGAATATGTAATGTGCTTCTGCCTACCTTTGTATTTGTTTCCAAAGGATGACTGGACTCTTATTGATATAAATAGATTTAGCAGTATGTTGGTGTACATTATTTATGAGAGAGACTTCTTGTCAGTATAATAGGAATATTTATAAGTCTATTATAAGAAAGCCAAATGTGGATCTTTTAAAGTCCCTGATTTCGCAAAATAGCAACAGTAAAAATACAACAAATAATAAGAAACAACTTTACTTCACCCCCATTCCTTCAGGGGAGAAAACGCTCTGGCATACAAACACATACGGCTTATTGTGCTCATTTATTTCTCTGGTCATGTTACAGCATTAAAGCTAGGTCCCGAGTCCTTCAAGTTTGATGGTGCAGTAGAGGCGGTGGCAGTCCGGCAGGCTGAGAAGTATTACATCCTCCGTCCAGAAGTCATCGAAACCTACTGGTACCTGTGGCGATTCACTCACGACCCAAGATACAGGCAGTGGGGCTGGGAAGCAGCTCTGGTGGGTAAACTGATTTTTCATTTCGTGTGCAAGAGTGTTACCCAAGTCCTTCTCTAGTGTTGTGATCCTCCTCCTTGTTACCTCATGTTCAGCAACTGTGGGACTATCTTTTATCTGATGGAAAACTCTATTAGTCAATTTACGTTTCTTAAGCAGCAGAAGTAAATCTTAGAATCCAGTTTAGTTTTCTATTAAAGGTATTTTCCTATTAGTGTTCACTCATTATTCTTATTGAGTAACTACAGAGTCATTTATAAGGCAATTTTTCACTATGATTATAAAATTTCTGTACTTCTTTATTAGTGGTCAAACTCCAAAAAAAGGGAAAATATTGTAAAACTGCCCAGATTCACAGCCTGGGTGGATTACCCCGTCTTCATGTTAGCTTGTATTCTAAGTAATTCCATAGTGGATCACCAAAGGAAGGAGCAATAAACTGTTACAAATTTATTAGATTGATAGACAAATACATAACTTAGAAATGGGGAATTATTAATGGTTAGTCAGTGAAGAAAGCAAGTGGTTTACCCTTACAGTACTTGCCTTTGAGAGAACTTCATGGCTCTCAGTACCTAGGGAGGAAGAAAATCACTAGTTTTTTTGTGGAAGTATTGACTATTCCTGTGATAAGGGGTTGTTTTATTCTTTAAGATACTCTAATTATGATAAATAGTACCATCTATGATGATAAATATTCATATTTAAATTGTTTGACTTAAATCTGTAGTGTGGATAGAGTGAGAGAATTCTAGGTGAGATAAGTAACGTCAGTAAATAGCTCAGACAAGAATTTGCAAGATTTATCCTAGGGCAGATCATAGACCAATTTATGTAAAAAGGCTTCACAGTGGCAACGAGAGAGAGGAGTTTGAAGCCATCGTGTGGATGGCCTTATGTGCCAGTGAAGGGATAAGTACTTTACTCAGTGACTCCGGAAGAAGATGAGTGCGCTTGTGCACACACAAGCATACATACAAACATCTCTCAATTATGACAGGTGTTTCTCATATGGGGATGCAAAGTCCTTTGCCTATCTAAAAAATGATCATATCTTCTTTTTCTACACCATCTCCTATCCACCAAAATTCCCTAACTTTAAGAATCCATTATAGGACTACTAAAGATTTTCAAAGGGGGAGGAACTATTGAAGGCCTTTTAGTTGGAAGTAACAAAACACAAGGATCTGATTGTAACCTGCAGATTGGTGGGGTTGGGAGACCACTGCAGTAGTCTGGGAATAATGTGATGAAGACTTGAACTAAGGTGAGGACCTGGATAGTCCTTATGAAGTTTAATAGAGAATAGTAATGGAAGGTGGGTATCTAGAACAGGAGCAGAGGCAGCATTTGTTGGTGCTGTCTTTCCACTTGTTCAGAGTTGGGAACGTAGCTGCTAGTGAAACTGCTGCAGTTGAGAAGAGAGCCAGACTGTTGCCACAGTGGCTCAGGAACAGGGCACACACTTGTGTTGGTAGCAGTGGCTTACTATAGCTTATATAAACCAAACAGTATTTTCCATAGAGGCAACAGACAGGTAAAGTAATCCTGTATCTGACTTGAGTGTCTCCTAATAGTTAAGGGTTCTTATTTAAAGGAATAAGGAAGATAGATCTAAATTAGGGGTGAAGGGTTTGGACAGAAGTATCCTCTCATTGAGAAACAGTAGGATAATTTGTCCTGTTTCTAAGGTCCTTTTTCCCTACACAGCTTTTTAAGATATGGCCCTACTCTTATCCATTAAAAAGAGGTTCGACACACTCAAACTTTAACCCATATCTGTCCAAATTTAAATGAACAGGAGTTAGAATGTTGCTTTTGTAGCCCATATAGACAGACACACAAACGGGAAATATTATCTCATTGCTATTATTATGTAGAGCTTCTAAGTAATGCTTTCTTTTAAAGCATGTTTGGATTATTGTTTATCCTTAGAAGGTATAAAATTGCAATTAAAAATTTTAATTCAAATTAGTCTCCTCTTGATTTGTCAGAATTAGTGAGACTTTGTTTTGTCATTCAGGTCTCGAACCCAGTGTGAATGACTTAAATTTGACTCCTAAGTTAGGAATGTACAAGATGTCTTAAAAAAAAAAAAAAAAAAAAAAAAGATTAAAGAGTTTTGAATAGGGAGAAATTCCACAGGAAACAGAATACCTCAGTCAGTTTTTCCAGAAGGAACTATTTTCATTTGATAATAAATTGTATTCTTAAACTATCAAATTCTCATATAGAGCTCTGTGAACTTTTGATGGGATCCCTTAACTTGACCTTCCAAACTTAGAAATTTTGTCCTTGATTCTTTTGTCTGATCTCTTCCACAGGCTATTGAGAAGTATTGCCGAGTCAGTGGGGGGTTCTCTGGGGTGAAGGATGTTTATTCCTCGACTCCTGCCCATGACGATGTGCAGCAGAGCTTCTTTCTCGCTGAAACATTAAAGTAAGTGGAGGCCTTTTACAAAATTTCACATCTTTAATATTTAGCTGCATCTCTAGAAGAATGGCAGCTATGAGGTAGATATTTAGTCAAGTAAGAGTTAGTTCCTTTCCTCCTAGTTTATTATACTCACATGGAAGACTCTTAAAACTCAGATAACTAGGTCATCCTGGCAGTGTCTGATTCAGTAGGCCCAGGGTAGAACTTAAGAATTTGCATTTCTGACAAGTGGATTATTAGAACATGGACAACATGTTTAAGATGTGGTTGACGCTGGTCTGGAAACCACACCTGAACTCCCTGCTCTGGCTAGTAAAGTCTGTTAGGAGTAATCATTGGTATATTGATAATACTAGAGAGTATATTACCATAGTCACCTATCCTTTCATTGGAGATTCCCATAAGCATATACATAAAGAGAACGATGAGAAAGGAAAAAAGACAACTTTATTATTTGGGCTTATACTTTAAACTTCAGGCAGGAAGAAGGTGGAGACCTTAAATATGTCCACTACAAAATAAATAGTTCTTGATACTTTCTCTTTGCTTCATGTTTCTATTTCCTGTCTGTCCGGACCTAAATGCCCCATAAAGTGTCACTTTGTTAAAAAAAAAAAAAAAAAAGTTTATTTTTCAGATATTGTTCAGGTTACTTGAGGATAAATCAGTAGACAAAAAGGACAAAAATTCCTACCCTCCTGAAGTTTACATGCTAATATACTTCTAGCTTACATTTTGGTATATTATTAAAATTTATATGTGTCAAACGAAGTGTTATCCTAATGGCCATCTTATTTCAATTATTTTTATTACTTCTACTGCTCTAATTTTTCCATCTTTTCAGTTTGTGCATTATAGAGTTACTTCCTTTTCCTTCTAATATGTCACTAAGTCTTTATAATTTCTATTATATTGCTTTTTTATTTTGCCTCTCCTTTCCATATCTGAGTTGATGTTAAGCCACACCCTTATTACGGTACTGCTGTGATGGTTTAGAACATCTGCTTGGTAGTGAGTTCCCTACTTCTAACAGTTATTTCTGTTTTGATTTATCCTGTGTGATTGGCCTGAGACTCAGGTAGTTGAAAGAACTCTGGACTGGCAGATAAAACCACAGGAGCTTTAGTTATATACTTGCTACAACCTAGCTGAATGAACATGTCAAAATAAAATTTCTTTGCTTTCATTTATCGCATCTGTAAACTGTGGAATTTGACCCAAATTATTTAAGAGGTCTTCTTTTATTTTCTTAAGACCAGAAAAACTGAAAGAATAAAATACAATGAGTATTTGTGTATCACCTAGATTTATCTATTGTAAACATTTCCCCACTACACAAACACACACACACACACACACACACACACACACACACACCAGCTCAAAATGGATCATAGGTCAAAATTAAAAACCTGAAAAAATACAACTTTTAGTAGAAAACATAGGAGAAAATTTTTGTGACCTTATGGTGGGCAAATTATTTTTTTAAGGTATTGCATTAAAAGCATAAAGCATAAAAAATTTAAAAACATCTCTGAGAGATGTTTGAAAAAGAATGAAAGAAAATTAAATGAAACAATGAAAAGTGTCTAGACTATATGTCAATAATAAGGTAACCTGAAATTCAGTTTAAAATGGGGAAAAAGAGTTGAAGTGTCTACTTCACTAAAGAAGATTATAAAGATGACAAATGAGCTCATAAAAAAAAGTGCTCAGTGTCATTAGCACTACAATGAGATACCACTACACTCCCATTAGGATGTCAGAGTAGAGCCACACCTGAAGTGATGTCTGCCTTCACTTTCTGACTGTGGACTTTTTGTGTGGAGATGTAAGGCATGGAGCATTTTATAATTCTGAGGAAAAAGTCAAGAATATTTCTAAGATCCTCATTATTGGTTGGGGGGGAGATTAAAGAACATAATGTGCCAACTAAGAAAACCCTCCCACAAATGTATAATAGCTGAGAAAGAAAACATGTTTACTATTGAATAAGCATTAAGCCAGGCTGCAATTTGCGTCACAGGTCCATTGCAAAGACAGAAAGAAATCCGGCCTTTCCACATAGCCAGGTTAGATACAATCCATTAGGTGCTGATGGTAGGTGATAAGAATACTCTCTCCACAGCACCATTTGCTGTACACAGCTTATTCTAAATTCACATGGTCACTGGAGTGGTCATCCCTGTTAGTTAATTACCTATATCCAAAGGAAAAATAATTCATTTTAATTACAGCTTTGAGAAAGACATCTAAACTACCCTCCCATAGTGACTAAGATTGGGGTGCTCTCTTCCTTAAAACATTAACATTTCAAATCATAGCACCCTGGCCTTGGAGGAAAACGTTTTGGATGTAAAACTGGTAAGAGGTTTATTTTGCTTGTAAAAAGATTTACATACACATCAAAAGGATAATTACAAGTTTTCTCAAGGCTGTGATCTCAGGAAAAAAAAAAAAAAAACTTAAAAGGAGGTAAGGTCTTTTGGCACTTGGAAGCATTTCATGTATTGCCATTAACCCTTACAAAAAAAAAAAGAAAAAAAAAAAGGAGCTCTGATAATGTTCTACTGCTGACTTACCCAACCTTTGTTACCACCTGCCTCTGGGCTGTTTGCCAGATAACCCCAATTGTTTGTGTGGTTTAGATCCTGTCTCTAATAGCCCAATTCATCCTACCTTATTTGACCCCTAAAAGCAGAGGGGCATGAATTCCCCTTAGCTCCCTGATATCTCTGGACAAGCCTAACCATCCCAGCATACCAGAAATGTCTGCCTTCTTCAGTTAATCTTCAAAAACTGCGTGCATATTTTGCATTTGAATCCATAATATGCCCGTGTTTTTTCCCCATCTTTTTTCGTCTTTCCCCCTATCCCTCAGAAAACAACTTTAAGATGTGACAGAAGATGTGGGGAAAGGTGGAGAGGGCTGATCTTTTGAAGAGATTAATAATTAAATGTTTTAATGCATCATATTTTAGAATATAATTTCCACTTATTATCTTCAATCTAATTTGATTCCTAGCCAGTCATTTCCAAAGACATTATTTAAATAGTAGAAGTATGAAATGAAGTTTTAAGTAAGTTATTTTTCAAACTATTTTTCTTATGAGTTCTTTGTAGTCCTTAATGCAAGCCTTTTTAGAGTTGTAACATCTATCCATAATAAGCCCAACATTGCCATTGGTAGTTGTGAAAAAGAATAAATGAGTCATCAAAGCTTGTTTAATAAATAAACAGAGGACTAAGTTAGAGTACATTAACTTGGTGGTGGGTTCTTTCAGCCTTACCTTTTCTCTAGAGACACTTACATGTTTCTCCTCAGACTTGGTTGACCTCTTTCTGAAAACGTTTCCTGTTCAGTCAACACTCTGTTGATGACTTTTGGCAACACCTCACTTGGGTGTCTCATTTTTTTCATTTTTATTTTTATTGATTTCAGAGAGGAAGAGAGAGACTGAAACATCAATAATGATGAGAGAATCATTGATCAGCTGCCCCCTGCATTCCCCCTACAGGGGATTGAGCCCACAGCCCGCTATGTTCCCTGACTGGAATTGAACCTAGGACCCCTTAGTCCGCAGGCCAATTCTCTATCCTGAGCCAAACCAGCTGGGGCACGTGTCTCATCTTTATGTAAGAGAAAACTAAAAGAGATGTAAGTGAATAGCATTTAAAAATAGCTCTGAAGGTAACCAAGACACCCAGTGAAACTGAAGTACTTAATAGCACCTTTTTATATACCTACAGGCTCCATCCAGTTAGTGTCATTTGTAATGTGTTATCGCTAATCTTGAAGTACAGTTTCAAAAAAATCTTTATTAGAAGAAAAGAGTATCTAGTAGTCTAGTAGCTAAATTAGATTGTAGACTTTTCTCAAATTTCACAGCAAAGATCATGCTTCTCCAATTGTTCTATTTTTAAACTCTGGATTAAAAATCTTAAATTTAAATTAGTAATATTAGACATCCTCTTCTGAATTTATAATCTGAAGTTAAAAAGAGATTTTAGCTGTTACTTTAATTTTAAACATTGACTTTGGTATAAGTTTTTAAGTGTACACTGTATGTTATTTAAGTCTTGTGTCAGCCACTGCTCTCCATGCACTGTTTAACTCTGCCTGAAGGCGTCAGTCTTGCTCCAAACCCTGGGACCAGGCAGCAGTGCTGCAATCTGTCTTCAAGTGACCTCTTCCCTGTGTGTCTGTGGCTCCAAATCTCACCCTCTTTCTCTTGTAAAGGTGTAAGACCTTGGAATTAGGGCTCATCTAAGTTCAGAAGGATTTCATTTCCAGATCCTTGAGGCCCTATTTCAAAATAAGATTACATTTTTGGGCTCTAGATGGAAATGAATTGTGGGGTATGCTGGCAGCATGGGGAAGTGCACTATTCAACCCACTATGGTAATATGAAGGTCCTTTTTAAAAAATAATACTCTGTTTCCCCAAAATAAGACAGTGTCTTATATTCATTTTTTCTCCTAAAGTTGCGCTAGGTCTTATTTTCAGGGGATGTCTTATCGTTCCATGTGCTAGGTCTTATTTTCGGAGGATGTCTTATTTTCGGGGAAACATGGTAGCATCTTGCTCTGGCCAGTGTGATTCAGTTGGTTGATCGTCGAGTTTAATTCTGGGTCAGGGCACCTGGCAGGGAGCGTGCAGGAGGCAGCCCATGGAAGTTTCACTTTCAAATCGATATTTCTCTCTCTCTCTCTCAAAAAAAAAAAAAAAAAAATCAATAAAAATATATTTTAAAATTATGGCATCTTTTATTATCTGAAACTTTCACATTTGTTATTTTATTGATTTTTATAGCATTTATGTTTATCTAAAGTACGTCCATAGCATCCCAGACGTGTGTGTACACGAACCCCAAGGGTGTGCTGTTCTCTACACAGTGAGCAGGCCCAGCACAGCTCTTCTGTGGCTGCCTCCCAGCTCTGCTGTCTGCCTGCAGCCAGTGAACACATCTGACAGGCAGGCCTCCGGTCCCGGAGTGGGGCTGAAGCCTGTGACTCCCTGTTCCAGTTTTACCAGTTAGAAGTCCATCCGCAGTCTCTGCTTACGTCAGCTATGTGTTTTACTCTCTCATCCTGAACTGTGACAGTAAGCAGAAAAAATATTAAAGTCCCGATGTTTAAAATAAATTTTAGCTAAAATACTGTAAAGAAATTCTCTACTGAAGCCTTGTAAGGCCAGCTAATTGCTACTAAGGTCAGGAGTTAGAACCCAGATTTCCTGACTCTATATAAGTAGTTTTTTATGCGCACTTTCATGACCCCCTAGTAGAATTCAGATTGGAATTTGCCCAGCATGATAAGTAAGAATCATTGTGCGTGCCAGATCTATCATGTTTTATTTCTGAGTGACCTCTGTGGCTTGCCCGTCTCGTGGAGAGGTCAGGAATCCTTGCCTTCCTATAAACAATGCTATTACCCATGAAGAGAGATTAATAATTGTTAAGCCTCCTATACATTCATCTTTCTGAAACCTCTATTAAATAGTTGGCAGCACCTGCAAAAACTATTAATATATTAGTGCATAAAAGTTCTTGCTATGTCCTAATAGTGTACTTATTTACTTCAGTATTTATTTACCAATGTCAGTTAATGGATTTCTAGTTATGCTATCTAAGCTGCCAAAACATATGACTGATGTAAGTTATGTTTAAAAGAATGTCTGAAAATTATGAAGTGGTTTGTTTATGCCATTTTACAGCATTGTTTTATGTACTTCAAACAGGTACACGAACTTGTCCTTAACCCTCTCATTTCAGAGCTCGGGTTGTGCAGCTCACGGTTTTCTTACGTGCAGTTCTGGACACAGTGTTTTTGCTTTAGGTCATATGAGTGGCAGGGTTTGTCCTCTGATGTGCTTTTCATTAAAGCTGCTCACAGCAGTTACTGGTGTCCTGGGCCATTCTAACTGGACCATGGGATCTTCTTGTTGAATTCTAACTGGAGCTCCTTTTATTTGCAGGTATTTGTATCTGCTGTTCTCCGGGGATGACCTTTTACCTTTAGACCACTGGGTGTTCAATACAGAGGCTCACCCTCTGCCCGTGTTGCATTTAGCCAACACCACACTTTCAGGAAACCCTGCTGTTCGATGAAAGCAGCTCCGGAAAGACCATTCTCACCTGTGTTTTGTTTACATGGACCCTACAGAGGAGTCTGGAACGGGGCTTCTGGAAACCCGGACCTCTGCATCAACATGGCAGGGTGAAACGTGACTCGCTCCCCACAGACTTTCAACGTGTAGATATCTCAACTTTGAAATAATTCCGTTTTATACCTGACCAAAACGTACTCCGGTGTGTGTAGGATGGAGACCTGGTATTCTTGGATTCTTAACGAGACGGTCACATCAACAGTTAAGCCAGTTACTCTCTGAATACTGTTTTTCGAGTCCAGGAACCTGGAGGCTCGACTTCCTAAGAATAAGCCAGAGCGTGGAGCGTCTTCAGGAGTCCGAGATGGCCGTGGCACCAGTTTCCATCTGTCTTCTCCCGAAGTGGAGCAGCTTTCAAATCAAATATTTACGCATTGTTTAGCCCCCTTTTCTCCATTTTTAATAATGGAACGAACTAAAATAAACAAGAACCAAAAAACCGTGTAGCTGGGTCAGCAGCAAGAAGACTCGGAAAAGAAACAGAAACACCCTGGTCTGCATCTTCGGGTTCCCCGTTGGGTGACCAGGCTGGCAGCCATTTATGTCCCAGTCCATTCCGTTGAAATTTCTTGGTTAATTTTAACTTTCTCTGGGGTGTGATCTCACAAAGAATTATTCTTCAAGTCTTTGTCTCCATATGGAATGATTGAAGCTGTTTGTCATGACCACTCCTTGTGAGCCTGGCTTGGGGATGTGATGCATGTCATTCAGTCTCGTGTTGGTAGCATGACGAAAAGTGGAGGAGATGCCAGTTTGTTGCCTTGAAATCTGTTCTAAGAGAAAGTGTTGATTTTTTTGGTAGGCTATTTTTCCAAACCAGCAAATCTACCAAGTACATTTTAACCCCATTATAAACATAGCAGAATCCCTCAACGTACAACTTTATTTATGTGGCTGGGCAAAATTCATTATACTGTTATGCAGTTCTGAATTTCCTTGGTAAGCTAAATTACTTTCCCAGCCTAGTAAATCAAGAACAAAATACATACAGTAAAATGTCCTTAAGTAGTCTATCTGAAATGGAGACATGGGATCCTTTATTATCTCATCAGATGACGGGGCTTTTCAAAAATGTTCTTATGTAAAAATAAACTTAACTTTTATTTTCTCCAAGGATATTTAAAGGAACCCAAAGAGTTAACCAAAATAGCTGCAAAATAATTTTTAGTAATAGAAGTAAGATGTAATTAATCATATTACACTGAATTTGGGATAGAGCTAAAGGATTTTCTCATGCCATCAATAGATTTTGCAAAGATAATTCTTTTTAAATAAATTAATTATTTCTTTATATTTGGGGAAAGAACTTAAATTTTATCAAGAACTATATTGTAAGATAAATGTCTAATGCTTATACATTTTCTGTCCCTTGAATTTATGTCTTAGTGCAGGACACTTTTTCCTTCTTTATATTTAATATAAATAGCTCCCATTGATAATAAAAGTTGGGAGTAGTATAATTAGTCTAATATCTAATCTGAATTTGCAGATTTCATGAAACAATGTGCAAGAAGCCCTCCTTGGAATTCTGAAGGCCTATTCCCTTATTTTGATACTTCTTTTTAGCCTTTCATGGGCATGTAGACTTAAATTGGGGGGAAATTTACAAATTAATATAATTAAATATTTTCTAAGGGTGATAATCTTATCCCACAAATAGTTTTCACATTTCAGCAAATGATCAATAATGATAAGAACTCCCAAGTTTTCCAGTATTCATAGAAAATAAGGATGTGGAGCCAGATATATTATTTAAGTCTTTAAAAGAGTTTGGTTTTAGCTCATACTTTGAAATTGTGATATCTTTTACTACTTGAAGATTAAGATTTTAAATGAGAAGGGTAGATGACTATTAAGAAGAGAACGGGAAAGAAAATATTTGGTTCTAAAAAATTAAAAACTTGAGTTGACAATGATCCAGAATGTCTGTGTAGATGGCCAGGAACCCTTCCTTGCTTAGTTCAGAAGAATTCAGAGTAAGGGGCCCTTCTGGGTTTCCCAGGAAGTTCTTCAGGAATCACATACAACCCTCACTCCTGAAGTGCTCTGTTGTATTTCTCAAATGACTGAGCGTAAAGGAAGGCAAAGAAGTGCACAAGCAAAGAGTCTGAGAGGGACAGTGGGAGGGTCTTCACCACGCCGCTGCCCTACTGTGAGCTTCTGGTAATGCGTCCAGTTTTTCCTCTGGATACCAAAGGTGATTGAATTAAAGTCAGCTGCAAATGACTTGCCCAGTGTCATGTTTGATTTTTGTTACGGATTTTTAAAATCATTTCCTCCGAGATCAGTCCTTAAGCTATATTCTGTTTGCTTTCCAAGAGTATTCTTTACTTCCTTCTGTCCTTGATAGTCCTTTGCATTTTGCAGGCCTATTTCTGAATTGACACCGGTTAAATAATTCATTACATGTATAGAACCTATGCAGAGAACCTAGAAATGCTCTTTTCCAGGTATCTCCTCAAAGAGTAGGTAGGCACCAAAAAAAACAAAACAAAACAAAACAAAAACACATGTTGGAATACCCCTGTACCATCTACATTCCTTTATTTTTTTTTATAATATATATATTTTATTAATTTCTTACAGAGAGGAAGGGAGAAAGATAGTTAGAAACATCAATGAGAGAAAACATCGACCAGCTGCCTCTTGCACACCTCCTACTGGGGATATGCCCGCAACCAAGCTACGTGCCCTTGACCTGGGGACCTCTCAGTCTGCAGGCCAACGCTCTATCCACTGAGCCAAACCGTCCAGGGCTACATTTATTTCTTTTACAGTTTTAGAATCACACCTTTTGTTCAAACCAGGGTAAAGTTGTTAAGGCCAAGAGAATGTGGACCTAACCAAAAGGAAGACTCGTGCAGAAAAGTAAGTCCTCAGGCAGAGGGTTCTTCCTTCCCGGTGGGCATGTGCTGTGTGGTGTCTCTCTCGACACCAGCTCATTCCTGTTCCTGAGCAGATGTTGATATGTAAGCGGGTACTGAGGGAATGCATTCCTTTTGTGGAAGGTTGACCCTGATTTCCTGTGGTGTCAGCTAGGGCGATCCAGGTCTTTGTTTGGTAGATTTTAACCTAGCAGTTTGAAATTTTGGTCATCTTCGTTGTTCTCTGTTGCCAAAGTCTGTCAAAACTACAGGTATGTCGGTAAAAGATTGTGCTTGCCATTCTCACTGGGCAGTGTCTCCTTAAGCCTGGATTTCTCTGAGTGAATGCATGGGAGAGTGAGAGAATGATGAACAAACAGGCAGTGCCCACTGCGTGCCAGCAGCATGCTAGGCCCTTTCCAGCACTAGAACACTTTGAGGCTCCAGGGGCATTCTCTGTGTGAGGAGTTCATACCATTTCAAATGTTTGCCAGTATGAATCACATTGCAAAATGCTGCATTGTATATCTCACTGAAATTGAGAGTAATAGAAGTTGTTTATATTTTAAACAGTGTGTTACTATATAATCCCAATAGCTATAATTGTAAGTTAATAACTAACATTTCTTGGAAAAATGTCAAAGGAATATTTGATGTCTGATGCAACTTGGGCTAAAATATTTGGAAATAAATGCAAACATTCTTATTTTGCTAAATCATTTTAATTAGATAATTAAAAATTAATGTTTTCTAGAAATGCTGCTTATTTTTTATTCAAAATTTTTGGCACATAATTCATGGGTAAAACTTGCGGTTGTGTATTGTTTTTGCTCTGTTGTGTGTCCTCCTGGTTGTTCCATGCTGTTAAATATAAAGAGAAATATACTAACCTATTTCTAAGTTTCAAACAATAGTTCCCAATAATAGTATTTTGAGATCTTATTTTTCATTAGGTTTCTTTCCCCTCAAATTGGCCAGCTCTTATCTTATCCACTCTTTACATAAATTTATACACAAATACAAGTATACACAGAGAGATTTTTAATACTGTGTATTTTTTAACTAATAAAAACAGTTGTTAACTGAGTTTGGCTGCACAACTTCTAAGCAGAATATTGGAATAACCCAATATGGTCTGGAGATATTTTAATGCACTTATTCTGGTTCAAGAACATTCGTGGTAGTGATTTCCTGTTAATTTGGCTCATTTAGGTCATGATGGGGATGTTCCTTTTGGCTTATGGCTTAGCAAGCTTTTCTGTAAAGGCCTAAACAAATATTTATTTGAGAGCCATCCAGCCTCTGTCTCTGCTACTCAATTCTGCAGCTGAAACAGGAAAGCAGATATAGGCAGTATGTAAATGAAGGGGCATAGCAGTGTTCCAATAAAACTTTATTTAGAGAAACATGGAGGGCTGGACTTTTCGCACAGGTCACAGTTGTTAATGTTGATCCCAACGTTTAAATTGGTGTAAGACCCTGTCCTATTTGATTGCATCTTTCCTTTATATTTGAGTTCTGTAATTCGTTTTTAAAGCAAAAAGATGTGTATGTGTGAGATTGTATGTATTTGTGTAACCTAAGGCTGTCTATTTTGTTGTCTATTTTGCTCCTCTAGAGTCTCTTCAGGTTTCATGATGCAGCTCTCATGAGGGAGGCACACTTTTTGTGTCTGGGGTATGCTGGCAGCCACTACGCTGGCCTTGCCTTGTATTTCAGGCCACACTTCCAGGGTCTCCAGGTAGAGTGAAGTGTTTCTGTGGTGTCGAAATAGTCATCCTCTCTAAGTTCTGCCTGCTCTGACCTTCGTTCAGCCCAAGACTTGGGATTACTGGGGCTGCAGAATCCCTCCGCCTGAGTGCTTCTCGCCCTCCAACTGTACGATGGGATCGCTGATCTTTGTGCTGCAGAATCCAGTCTCGAAAACTGTTCAGCAGCAGAAAATGGGTTATGTGCCACTTGGCAGCCACTGTTGCCCTTTTAGACTGCAGAAGAGCCCTGCCCCTGCTCCCTCTAGACCTGCCCGCATCTGAAAAGTGGTAGCCAAAGGATAGCTCCCTTCTCTGCACAACTCTCC